AGCGCTTCTGCCACGGGGTGAGGGGGAGCTCCCCGCTCCTCGCTGACCCAAAATGAGCGGTTGCCCGAGTGGCGTATCTAATTCGTTAATAAATTTTGGGGGGAAAACAACTGATTTTGAGCAAACCGAGCGCGGAGTCACCGCGAAGGAAGGGTTGGTTCCCCGAAGTGTACGAAGCCAAGTGTTAAGAGGGGGCGATTAACGAACCAGCAACTGCAGGTTTAGTTTTCAGTGAAAGGTGGCTGCTGAGGAATGCCGGAAGAATCCTCCAAACAGTTAAAAAAATAATAAAAATAAATAAATAATAATAATAATAATAAAGAAGATACTACAACCAATTAGTTTAGGGACATTTCACCGGCTTCTACAAAAGCTCTTGGTGGTTTGGCCGATTAAAGAAACCAAAACCGTGCTTAAACATATAAAAAACAAGTGAATGCCAGAATGAAACATCTCGAAGCTCTCCTCTTGGTTTCCTCAGACCCCTCCGAGCGATTGCCTCTGGAGACCCCAACACTACTCCTGCCAAGAAATGTATTTCCTTCACAAACGCTGCTCCTAGAACGTGGTTTTCAGTTCCAAACAGTCGACAGTTTTACGGAACAGCCATAAAAAATAATCCAGGCCTTGCAAATAAGCTTTAATATAGAAGGCTTAGAAATTTAATTCTTGATTTGTCCTGGAAAGGGAGCAAAGGGGGTTCTGTTGTTCACCTGTAGATGTGTGAAGGAGAAGCTCTGGGGATCAAGGATTGTTTTACAGTGAAGCTGTGATGGCTGACGTGAAGCTCTTATCTTGAGTTATGATGGAGTTTGCAATTACTGAGGCAAACTTAAGTACTGTAAAAGGCTATCAGCAAGCACGATGAATCATTGACGAGTTTGGATTGCTTAAAGGAGACAAGCTAGCTTTCTAGAAAACCTTTAGTCCAGCTCGGGTGAGGTCCTGCAGAACAGATCACAGCTGCCTGTTCATGAGTGTCAGTGCACGATATTTCCAGTCTAACCATTTGTTCTTAATACTGACAGCCACCTATACTGAGATCGTTTATTCCTGGGTCCTAAACGAAAACTGAAGCTGAACAGAACGCGTTCTCCCTTTAGAGGATCAGGTCTCAGCTCAAGCACATACAGATCTCTCGTTTCCAGAGTTTGGAAAGGCACTAGAGGGTGCTGTACTGAAAGAGAAGAAAGTGGCTTTGTACCTGCAGGAAAACACTTCCCAGCCTCCCCACGGTGAAGAACCACTACCTCCCGCTTTTCCTTTTCTTTCCTCCATGATCTTTTAGGCCTTTTCACTCCCGTAACAGCTTCCTGCCTGTTTCCTTAAGGAGAGGATCACCAGACAGACGCTAGCGTCTTTGAATCTTACACATCCTGACAGTAAGGAATATAGAAACAAGGAGTGCAAAATATAGAAACAGGAGGCCAAAAGTGCCTTTTCATGTCTGTGGTAGAACAAAAATACTACTCTTCATTTCAGATAATTAGTCTCAGGAATTAAAATACTGTGTTTACTTTTCTTGTTTCTTTACAGGGAAGATGCATTATCCTCATCCAGTACATTTGACACATGCATGTCTAACTATACTTTTTTTTCATTGAGGAACATAATGTTTTTGGGAATCCTTCTGTGCATCTTCAGGCTTTAAAAGCTTTGATGAAGGTGTACTCACAGCTCAGGTAGGATCCAAGCACAAGCAATCCTGTCTTACAGCTAACCACCACACATATTCAACTCAGAAGAATCTTAAAGTGCCTTAGGTGTGATTTTACAGTGTCCTAGTGTTTTGTAGTGCTCTACACATTTAAAGACAAAGTTCTTAACCTATGGGTCAGCATTCCACTTCACTGCAAAGCTTTGACTGTCTCCAGACGAGAACCCAGAAAACAAGCAACAGAAACAAGATACCTGAAAAAACACAGTATGCACATTTCCAGCCCTACAGGGGGCTAAGCAATAAAAAAAATAAAAAAATAAAACATTTTATTTACTGCTGCCCTGTGCAGTAGCAGCTGCTAGAGCTGCCAGTGGGGGCCTGCTGTGGATCCCCAGGAGCATGTCTGGGGGATGGAAAAAAGAGAAAAAAATGATGTTTCAGAGAACATAGCAAAACCATTCCTGTGTGTGTTCTACATCGATGTTGATGCTTTTCTCCATAACGTGAACAAATAGCTTCTTGGAAAGGGATCTAATTTGTGATTTATTTATTTTTTTTTTCTTCTTGTTTTTTCCCCCCCTTTAAATACTTGGGATAACTAGTTATCAAATAAAGGGTAGGTAGGTAGGGATTATAGTTTTGAACTACAAGAGGGGAGATTTAGGCTAGATGCTAGGAGGAAAGTCTTCACTCAGAGGGTGGTGAGGCACTGGCACAGGTTGCCCAGAGAAGCTGTGGATGCCCCATCCCTGGAGGTGCTCAAGGCCAGGGTGGAACCAGATGGTCTTTAACCCAAACCATTCTATGATTATCTACATAGGGATTGTGGCACCAAATTGTCAAAGGGATCTTGTTTAGTGATAAGTAACAACAATAATATGGTATGTAGGTCTAGATTCTTGGCTAACAGATCGCAATTATAGAAAACTAGGAAAAAATAATTGAAAAGCAGAAAATTAAGGATGTATGAAATCTTAGACTCTTCTTTTTTTTTCTACATTTTTCCCCCTAGTAACACCAAAATGTTTCAGGCCAAATAATTTAATATGTGATCTGCAAATGCCTTTGCTGACACATCCCCAGTCTGGCATTACCTTTTGCGTCTGTCCTCAGGTGCATGCTCCTTCCACAGATGCCAAGGCATAACACAGGGAAGCAGCAGAGACCACAGAGGAGGATTTAAATTCTCTTAGACTGGCATTGTTCTGCTCTCATTCTTTTTGTTTTACAGCTGTACCACATCAGAAATGCTGGTTTCCTACTGATGCCCTAGTGATAATAGGGCAACCATGAAGGTTAAAGGAAATTGAAAACAAGCATAAAAAAGCAGTGTCAAGAGATGGAAAATAGAGGCAGAATTTTTTATGATCAATGCATACACAAACTTGCAATAAGTAATTTCCGTTTTATATTAAAAAAAACTCCTCTTCCCTATTTGCATTTTTCATGTTTGTACCAAGTACATTAAAAATTACCACCACAGTTCACCAGCTCACAGAGGGAAGCTCAGCACCTGCCAGCAGTGTCTTCTCACCATGCAATCATCAACTTGCTTCTGGCCATAGCCTCTGTGGCTGCTGCGAAAACCCACTTGTAGGAAAGGCAATACCCTTTCCTTATTATTCAGGCTTTTTTGCCACAGTTGGCTACTCTTTCATAATTTTTATTTTCCTGTTTCCTCCAGGAGAAATACTTGAAGAAGAAATGAAGAAGAGCAGATTTGGGCATTCTACCACCATTAGTGAGCTTTCAACCCAGTACAGTAATAGGAAATGGAAATAAGGCAGCAAATAAAAATCACAGAATCTAGACGTCTGATTTCCCCAAACGGTGTGTAAACCTACAGCTTTGCCTGCATGAATGAAGCCATGCTGATTTATGCCAGCTCTGCACAGCTTCTGCATTCTCTTGATGACTCTGCCACTGTGTTAAATGAGCAAAGTAGAGGAATCATTAACACTGGCAAAAGCTAAACAAAAGAAGGCAAGACAGAAAAAGTGGAGCTGTAGTGAACATAGCGTAACTTTTTTTTCTTCCTGCTAGATAGCAAAACCCATGTTTAGTAACTTTAAAAAATTTGATGTAATAGCATTTTTCCCCAAAAAACTTTTGCTTGCACAGTTGAGATTACAGGTATTACACCAGAAACCTTTGGCAGAATTTGTTATTCAAAGCGTAGCAGTTCGTGTAGATAGGCACCTGGCTTAGAGAAAACAAGAGCCAACATCAGTACAGCAGCACACACAAACTGTAATTTGCATGTCTAGACTTTATTATTACAGTATTTCAGTTGCAACCTACCCTAGACATACAGGTCAACATAATTTTACACTTCATTATGTCTGCTGCTTTTTTTTCCCAAGGAAAATCAGCATTTAAAAAGAACTGCAGCATTTCAGCACTGGCACGTCCTGTCACTTCCAGAGCTTTTTAGCAATCTGTAGAGCAAATCCATTTTTTCCTCCTCCCACCAGTCATTGTACATTCAGAGCAGGTTTTACGCTTTTTTTCCAATTCATAAAACACAGACTTACAAGATACATTTTTAATGTTTTTGAGAAAGATTAATTATTCAAGAGGGAGGCTTTGATCCTGTAGACATAAGCCAGTTACAAAAAGGAAAAGTGGAAAAGCAATGCAAAAATTCATCTGGTTTGGTGCATGACCTGGCCCTTGACCTTCTTGCTCTAGATTTCCCATAATATATTTAATCACCCTATTACATTATTTCCCCTCCAGGCCCATGAGGAGAGGCTAGACCAGGTCAGGAAGGCAGTCTTTACTACGTGCTTCATCCACAGCTTTGAAAATTGCTGACGTTTCTGTTACAGCAAGCTCGACACAGGGGAACCTTTTGAAATCACCACATCACCTACTTCCACCTATCTACGCTTCCCATCACTGTGACCTTCAAAGTCACAATTGTTTGCGTAAAACTTGTCCCTACTGGTCCAATCTTCTGAAGACCGTGGTGGATTACCCAGGGCGGCTCACAGCTTCACGGCATGCACAGGCTGTTTTTCCTCTTTGGAGCAGGGTTCCCTCCCCTCAGATAAGACTTCTGCATCATGAAGGATGAAGCATCTTTACACCAGAACCTTCACGATCACAAGGCAAGTTCTGTTGGGTGGCTGAATAATATAATTATGCTACTACGGCAGGCCAGGAGAATAAGGGAATGAAAAAATTAATATGGTGTTTACTAATTCATGTGCAATAGCAAAAAAACCACCATTTTGGTCCCCTGATGCAAATGCACCTTCTGCTAGGACCTGTTGCAATGTCTGAATGCTTAGAAAGACGTGTAAGATGCAGTCAGGAGAAAACACCATGCCAGTCATTTTCAAACGGGTCCTTCCATAAATTACTTTATTTCTCATTAAATGAGCACAGAGTCATAACCATATTAATAACAGATATGTTTATTATTACATATCCATCAGTGCGGCTTTCAATACCACTTGAAACATGCATATCGTCCTAAGGACGATTCAGTTTTCCAGTGCTTCTTATTTAATACACAACTGCAAAGCCATTATAAATTACTGAGGAGGTATTTGGTTAAGAAATAAAATAAAATAAAACCATACTGCCCATACCATGAATGTATTCCTGCTACAAAGCAAGAAAGTCTGACAGCATTTACTGAAATTCCTGAATTACCTGGAGCTTGTGTTATATGCTTTTTTTTTTTTCCTTTTTGCATTGCCTACACATTTCTTGCCTTACAAACCAGAACCAGTCCCTTTGTAAGAGGAATTCTCGTTCAAAGACTGTATTTAATTTAGAAAATTCATCTAGCGTCTACAATACTTAAACCAATTAAAGTTCAGTAAAAGCCACTGATATACAATAGTTTTGCTTTTTTTTTCCTTTTTTGAGGTTTCCTTTGTTTACTTTTACATTTCTACATTTACTGACATGGCAATAATACAATTATCTCAAATTAAGGCACTAAAAGGACAACGTAAAACTCAGTAAAAGTGTTCTAAGAATAATTTACATTTCAAACAGTGCATATATGTTTGTTAACTTAATGTATGTTATCACTTAAAATTGTAAGGCAATACATTACACAGTTATAGAAATGATGTACCCCAAAATATGCTTCCAAACTCGGTTCTCCTTACTGTTAGTTCCTAATGCCTCTAATAGTAAAAGAATTCAGTATGGCTTGGCAAAAATGCATAGATTAAAGGCAATTACTTGTTTCCCCCCCCCGCCCCCTTTACAAACCTGCTGAATCGGTATTTTGTAAAGCATAATGCAAAATATTTAACACTTTGATCCATTCCATAGTGGGTGATTAGCATTAAGGCTGTTAAGAACTCTGCAGTGAAGGCACTGAAGTTCAAGTGATAAGGCTTCATTTTTAAGCTAGTTCTGCAGTCTTCAAGAGCACAACTTTGAGTCTTGAAAGCAATTGCAGTCCTTCTCATTGAGAAACCTTCCTCCTCTACTCCGTTTCATATGCTCATCTTGACATAAATATTCCCCTCACAGGGTAAACAGTCTTCTTTCACTGATACGCAGAAAGTTGGCTGTATTTCATCATGATTGACAGGCTTGCTTTTTTTTTTTATCCAAAAAGGCAGCACCTTTTTTTTTTTTATACACCTAGCTAAGCTTTATTTGCTTTAACTTGCATTACATAGTAATAATTAATCTAATCTACCTTTAGGCAAACCCGCAATTAAACACCCTCAGCGTGCTTTTGTGCCAAAGCAAGGAGGAGACAGTAATAGCAATCTTAACCCTGAAGCCTGTGATAGTTATGTTGAAAGGAACAACAGCCTGTCTGCACTGCTCGGTGTGGTTAAAAAAGCCCTGTTTTTCAGACCGCATCCCAGGAGATTCCATTAAGCACTGTACATGTGGTTAGCTGGAACAAAGAAGAAAACAGACAATTAATACTACATTCAAAAATTAGTTTCATAATATTGGGGCATTATGTTAAGAGCCTCACCGTAGAAAATACCTCAGTTAAATTATTTTTCAATTGACATCTGTAACACTAAACACATCTTCCCCAAAGCGTTCTTAATTTCTGACAACATTACATTTACACAGAGATCAGGCAGACGATAACGTTAATCATTTACCAGTAAAGCTGCAGTAAGAGTAAACAATCATGAGTGTATTTATGGCAAGCGTAAGGTGACCCTCTTTCACTTGCAGGACAAGAAAAGGCTTTTGTCAGGCTAAGAGCGCACACATGCAGCTGCCAGAGCTCATCTGATACACAGGAGTTTTGTTTTAAACATGCATTAACTTGATCAGGTGCCCAAGTCCAAATATATTAAAACAAAGCACCTCAACTGTGCTGATACAAAGAGCATAAATTAGCATGCTATAAACTAGGAAGGTTCAGATCTAGAAGCAGTACTGCAATTGCTAGCAAGTTTATTATGGAGGTCTAATTCATATTTATTAGTGGTAAGGCATTAAAATGAGGAGGAAGACTTAAAACGAAATTATATTTGAGGTTCGTTTTAATGGGTCTGATACACATCCCATAAAGTCAATAGAGCACTGCCTATCAACTGCAAAGAAAGCCAGATCAGATCTAAATGAAACATAATAAAAAATGTATTAAAGAGTGTGTTAAAGTCTGTATTCATTCAATAAGATACAGAATGCCTGCTCACAAGGTAGGACTTCATGAGACTGGACTGTGCTATTCTGTCTGACAAGACAACAATTTCCAGATATTTGGTAACAGCTAAGATAAAAGTGCATTCCATAAAAAACACCACTGCTTCTCTTACTCCTTTCCTCTTACTCCTTAAGTGCAGAGGTCAGGATGAGAACTGCAGGGTGCAGCAACTTGAGTTCCGGGAGGCCAATCTAACAACTCCCTGATACCTGAAAGGAAAAGGGTTCCTCCTCCACTTATCTTCCCAGCCCCAGCGGAGCAGCCTCCTACCTACCTTTCCTCAGCTTTGGCAGTCACCACACTTCTCAGTGGGCTGATCCCACTCACCAAATAAATGTAGAGTTCTTTTTGACAGGCAGGAAACTGAGTTGTGGACCTTTATGAAAGGGACCAAAATGCTCATCTCACGTACCTACCCAGGAGCAAGCAACAGAAGAGCAGGGAAGGAAAACAAAACAAGAATCCTCCCCTTAGAGTGGAAACCAGCTGTCAGATTAGCTCAGCTACTGTCCAATCACCAGTGAAGTGTTCAGTGTAAAAGATTTGCTGTAAATTTATTTAATAATCTAAACACCTGGTACATTAGAAGTGACTACTCCTGCTGGAAGGCTGATGCCCCTTCCTGGGCATACAGAACAGAACAGCTTGAAAGAAGTTCCTATCCAATCTTTTTTTTTTTTTCTGGTACTTTTAAGCTTGGTGTAACTCCAAATCCTTCCATCATTCACTCACATCGCCTGCAAGTGCCACGCAAGCCCCGTTACGCTGCAGTTAGCCCAGCGTCAGCTGTCTCCCCCCTACACAGCGGGGCTGGAGCGTGCACAAAGCGTGCACAAAGCTGCCCAGCAGCTCCTCGAGCGTCGGTGCTGTGTGCGGGCTCCCCACCTGCCTCCTGCATGCAGCACAACGGGCTGGCAGCACGCACATACCTAGCGCTCTCGCTGGTCAAGAGCTGTGCCTCTCTAAATTGTTTATGCTCAACATGCTTCTTCCTCCACACTCGGTGCCTACAATATGCAGCAGTAGAACAGTTTGCCGTAAATTAATTACGTGTTCTAAGAAACTATGTCAATATTAAGCATTGTTAAGAAACGAGATTTCTAAGGTCAAATACTAATTATGTCACCAAGTTCACTAATGGATACAGGCCGACTCTAGGAAGAGCTGGGAGAGGGAGAAGGGATGTAAGGGTTTCTTTCTTGTTGTGCTTCCTCCTGACGTTTGTTCTCGATTGAAAACATTCCTGGATTAATTCTCTGCCAGAAATAGATACATTTACTGAGGTAATCTGTGAAGCTCATAGAAGATAAAGCAGGAGCAGTGCAGTTCTCCTCCTTTTAGTGCTAGTGAGCTATTAGGATTAGTTGTATCTCTTGTGTCTTAGCCAATGATCTTTAAAATAATGTTTTCTCATTCAAATTAAAGTTCCTGTTCACTACCTCCACATTTCTATGATTCTATACCATTCTAACAAGACAAGGGCCCACAGGATTAATTACAGAAATTGTGTAACTGATCTCCCCAAACAGACCCATTCTTTTAAGAGCTACTGTAAAGTTTCACATACACAATTGTTTACCCTATAAGGAATTAGCTGTAAATTTGGGTTGTGCTGAAGACCACCATGAACAGCATCTCCATTAAGATAGAATGAAAAAGAATTAATGAATTGATTTAAAAAAATCAATCACTACTTTTGCTGTTCCTTACTTATCAACTCCCTGTATGACTGTAGTTGGTAATAGGGCAGGTGACAAGAATCCCAGTCTCGCAGCATCACATTAGCTGCTGGTGGATGGCAAAGGTGACCCTCTGTACCTTACACTTGGGTAACTATCAATTTAAACTATGAAACGTATGCTGTGCTGGGTTTGTATCCTTCAAGTTTCTTCGTAACAACTCTGTACTGTACTAAAATATAAACATTACATATATTTTTTCAGACCAAGAATACTACCTCAGAAGATACTTGGTTGGATTGGCATTTTCAGTGAGTAATACTGCCTAATAGCATTTCACTGTCATATTTTAAAAGCTCTTAAAAATATATTAATGAATTTTACATTAACAGTGTTTTTGGTTTGTTTCTTTTCCCAGAATTGATGTTGGAATGGCCAGTCAGTATCAAAACCATTCCACTTATTTAAGTAGCAAACAATATGCTTTTTCTTTTGGTCTTAGGTAGTCCAAGACTTACTAAAAAATCTTACTAATCCGTAACAGCATTCTTTAAGTAGTTCTAAACATTTCTATTGCCTTTACCTGCCTGTTTTTAAGCTGCCCGTTTTTAAAGGCAGACCTTTTAAGGTCTGCTTTTAGTAACCTGTTTCTAGAATCCTCTAATTATTTTTCTATCACATGATGTATAAAAATCACTTGGTATTTTTTTTCCCCAGTCACAGACCAAGAGCATTTCAACAGTTCTATTGTAAATAAAGATGTTAAATAACAACTATTAATGATGCATATTTTAAATCAGCAGATGCAACTTAGAGACCAATTTTTTAAAAGATATGGCTAATCTTGGTGGGGAGAGGGGTAACATTTTTTAATAAATCCCAGAAAGTTGAGGACTGAAGGACAATTCAGTTTGGAAACAATGCAGCATTATGAAGCTTATAGAAGTTGGGAGAAGTGGACATTCTGTAGACAAGACGGTTTAACAAGATTTCACATCTAACTGTCCACCTATTCAGTTATTTTGGGGGAAAGGAACATACATACTGTCAGAAAGCAAGTTAAAAATCAGTACAACGTCCTAGCATTAAAAAAGAAGTGTATTTTAAATCTGGCCCTGGTGAATGCACAGGGTCACAAATAGCTCTGCCAAACAACTGATGAGATAGGAGAAGACAGGGAATGATTGAGCAAGGAGAAGGGATGGAATCATCATTTAACCTGCCTGACACTAACAGAAATAGCATAAACAGTTCGAGAATCTAGAAGTTTCTTGGTGGCTTCTGACACAAACCCATGAATCCCTGGTTGATGAGAAACTCAACATGAGACAGCAATGTACATTTGCAGCCCCAAAAGCCAACCATATCCCAGGCTGTATCAAAAACAGCGTGGCCAGCAAGGTCGAGGGGGATGATTCTCCCTCTCTGCTCTGCTCTCATGAGACTGCACCTGGAGCGCTGCTTTCAGCTCTGGGGCCCCCAGCATAAAGACATGGACCTGTTGCAGTGAGCTCAGAGGAGGGCCACGAGGGTGATCAGAGGGCTGGAGCACCTCTCCTATGAGGACAGGCTGAGAGAGTTGGGGTTGTTCAGCCTGGAGACAAGAAGGCTCTGGGAAGGCCTTCTGGGAAGGCTCTTACAGTGGTCTTCCAGTACCTAAATGGGGCCTCCAGGAAAGCTGGGGAGGGACTCTTTGTCAGGGAGTGTAGTGATAGGACACGGGGGAATGGCTTTAAACTAAAAGAGGGTAGATTTAGATTAGACAACGGGAAGAAATTCTTCACTCAGAGGGAAGTGAGATACAGCAACAGGCTGCCCAGAGAAGCTGTGGATGCCCCATCCCTGGAGGTGCTCAAGGCCAGGCTGGATGGGGATTTGGGCAACCTGGTCTGGTGGGAGGTGTCCCTGTTCATATTTTCCATATGTGAACTGGTAAATATACGAATGACAGGAGAATTCTGTCTATTCCTCCTTCTAGGATTTAAGCAGAGATTTAGACTACTAGTTCAACAGTGTTAACAATAGAGTTATTTCACAATTTCCTGTTAAATAAGACTTAAAGAGATTTTTGTTTTGTTTGTTTGTTTTTTTGAAGTTAAAAAGATCCATAGCTTTTGTAGTTTATTTCTCACCTAGTTTTTCCAGAAGTATTTTTAACAGCTTTTCGGAATGACTGATTTGCTGAGGATCTTGTAGACATAGTTCTAGGAGACGCTCGAACGAAAGTAGATGGCGGGTTCTTAGGGATCTTCTTTACTAAATGAGTCACCCACTTCTTCTGTTCATCTTGACAGGATGCCAGTAACAACATGTCTCTTGCTGAAGTTACATCGTAACTCACTGTACACAGAAGGTAGAAGATGAATCCGGGAAAATTAGGATTCGTTATCAGAACAACAAATTATGACATACCATTTGCACCACTGGAAAAAAAAAACAGCTTCTCTATACATACTTGTATCTGAACATTTTATTTTTAGAAGGCAATAAACAGCAGGAGAAATTATAAATACTGTTTTTTTTTCCAGTAGTTGTCTCTCTTCATTAAAATTCTTGATTCTAACTCAAGAAATGAGACATTTTACACTCATTTCAGTCTTATGCTGGAGAAGTTGCATGGGTACCTCATGACTGACTTCCACAGTACATACTCCAAGTGCTCCATTTCACAGGAGCACAGAAAAAGAAACCTTCACTCCAATCCATGAAGTGGCTGAAGAACCTTCAAAGGTCTTAGCACGGACTGGTGATGTGGCTACTGTATTGTCACTAACTGGGGCTATGCACAAGGACAGAAAGAATGGCCTGGGAACCAAGCAGCTGACTGGTACCTGGGCAAAAACCCCTAGAGACCCTTGTGCTCTACAGGTCCTCAGCAGAGCCACAACAGTTACTGCACAAAAGGCCTCCCTGCACAGGCTTTCCATAGCTGCCTGTCCGTAACCAGCATTAACGATATTAGTGTAACAGTATCTTTCATATCTAAAACATAAAACTAAAGAGTACAACACTTAAAGTGCTTTTATTTTCATCCCCTAGGTCAGGAGGTCTGGCTAAAATGCAGAGAAGATGGAATGCTACAGAAAACATGAGTGTACCTTTGCATGGTGCAATTAATTCCTCCTTTCTATCCAAGTGGTCCCTGTGGCACTTCACATGGCATCTTCGACATTCCAGGGCAGCAGGGGGTTTAAAGACGTGCCAAAGAGGTTTGGCACAGGCCTCACAGTTGGCTGGGAAGTGGTATATCGTTGGAATAAATTCATGGCCTTTGTGATTTAGAAAATTCGTCTTCTCTGCCGGCTGTACTGGTTCTACCTCCAAATCCTTCCTGCATTCTCCCTCATTAGCATACAGAATCTAAAAAAAAAAAAGGAAAAAACCAGCATGTTACTGCTGAAGCACCACATATTTTGTATGTTTTTCCAAAGATAACTCTGAACTTTTTGAAGGGAATTAGAAGAGAAATGACAATTCCCTTCTTTTTTTACCTGGAAGATTTTAGGAATTTCTTCAGTTTCTGCTCTATATACATCTCCTTGAGTTACAGGTCGGACATGGAACAGCTTACTAGATTAAAAGAAACATAAATCAGAAAAGGCTAAAAGGTTACAGTCAAATTACTTTGAAGTTCTTATAAATTCTGTTTATGCAAGCAAAATTATATACTCCAAGGCTGTATTATGGTTTCAGGAAACCACTAAAATCATACAGATCTTGTCTATCCAGGTAAGACCAAAAGTTTGGAAAGAGGATGATCTTAAAATGGATTAAAGATCCACCATGGCAAATTTACCTGTGAAAATTCTTCCTTAGGACAGTGAGAAGTCTGATTATTGCTAGAAAAGCATATTTACAGCCCTAGAAGTAACCATATCAAGCACAGCAATATTTTTTTTTCACTAAATCATGTGATTAACTGAGAATCAATCAATGCAAGAAGATCACAAAAGGCAATCTGGGGCACTAGGTACTGAAAATGCTGTTAAAATTGGAACAAACATCATCCTGCACTGGGTAAAGGCTGCAAGTCCATCCAGCCCAACACTCTCTTTTCACCAGTAGCCATAACAGATGTTTATGCAAAGAGAATAAGAAAAAGCTCAAAGAGAAAATAATGCTTTTCCTATTTATAAGCAATTGGCAGCTTAAGTGCTTCCTGAGTTTGTGATTACTTCCAGACCACTACATTTGTTATGTTAGTCACTGGCAGATCTATTCATAAATTTTGAAGCCTTTTTCCACTTACTACTCTATGACATCCCATAATGCTGGTCAGCTGTTCAAACATCACCATCATGTAACAGCAATGGACTTCAGTCATATTTGACACATTTTTCCTTTATGTATCACCAATGCAGAGGGAACATAACTTATTTTTTCACTTGAAATACATAGAAACCATCTGGAAAATTTAAAAATGCTTTGAGGTTGGTTAATATGGAGCCCTTCTCAGATTGCCAGAAAAAGGTGTGAGGCAAAAGGGATGAGATCTAAAAGCAGAGTTTATACCTCGTTTTTGTGTGCTCCACAACTATCATGACCCGAAAATTCAAAGTTATTTATGGACTGTTGAATCCAAGTGCCTAGGTTTGTTATCAGTGATCTCAGACACGGCTCTTTTGCCTATCTTTATGCAAAGTCAACGATAACTTCACTTACTCTATGTCTAGTACCATGGATGGGTTAGACTGGTCCTTGTCCTTTTCATCGTTATAGAACAGTATCTTTTTACTGCTCACCACGACATACTGGGGAAAGAAAGAATAAAACAAGTTAAAACTGAAAAAAAAAAAAACAAAACATTTAAAAGCACATAAAAGCCTGAGTAAAGTAAGGTTTTTAAACTAATATCAGCAAATACTTGTATCGTTATCCAGCCAGCTATACTACTGACAGCTGTGCAATGCTACAGCCACAGTGATTGTGTGCTGTCACTGGAGAACTCTGAAATGCCCACAACAACTCTGTAAGTCTATCTGTACACAAAACTCAAACTTCAGTTGCTACAGGGATGTTACTATGAAAGTTACTCCATCCCTGAGCAGCTCCTGGAGTGCAGAGTCTGTCACTTACTGATAAGCTGAAAACACTTCCCTTAGTCTAGAGACCTGCAGGACTCACTGGTACTTTGCACCAAACAAGTGGGGGCCTTTCCTACAATTTCTCTTTAATGGACCAGCGTAATAAAAAGCAAAAGCAAACCAGCAGTAAGAGCAAACAAGTCACACTCTGGTATATATTTCAGATGCAGGAATAAACTGAGACAGCAGAGTAAACGTTTGCAGATGAAGAAAAAAAGGAATGGACATTCTTTTGCTGCATGCCACTTTAAAGGTCAAACCACAAAGTACTTTCCAGAACTGTAAAGATGCTAAGAAAGAAATATTAAGTAATGTGATTAGTTTATTTTTTTCCTTAGTATTTTAAAGCTCTTGCTAAGAACCTACATATTAACATAACTATCCCATGCTACTGAAAAATAGAGTACTTGAGAGTGCATGGGATTCTGAGGAATATAGAAGAGCTATTGGGAAAGCACTGAGAGTTTTAGAGCAGGAGTGGGCTTCAGGCTCCAATTCCAAGAAAATACCCAAATGTTGAGTATGCCTGCAGCATTTGCCCTCCTGTCCCCAAAAGAGCAAAGATATAGTCCTCAACCTAAAGCATGCAGACACCTTTCCAGTGCCACTCATAATCACACAACTATAAATGTTTCACAGAATGCTTTGGGTTGGAAGGGATCTTAAAGACCACCTAGTTCAAACCCCCTGCCATGGGCAGGGACACCTCCCACCAGACCAGGTTGCCCAAAGCCCCATCCAGCCTGGCCTTGAGCACCTCCAGGGATGGGGCAGCCACAGCTTCTCTGGGCAGCCTGTGCCAGGGCTTCCCTGCCCTCTGAGGGAAGAATTTCTTCCCGATGTCTAATAAAAATCTCTCCTCTTTTAATTTTAAGCCACTACCCATTGTGCTATCACTACACCCCCTGACAGTGTCCCCTCTCCAGCTTTCTGGTAGGCCCCCTTTAGGTGCTAGAAGGAGAAACATGTTCATAGAAGAATCTGCTCTTCCTACAAGAGCAGGTTGAGCCTCCTCATTACAGAGAACTAAGTCTGACCTCACAATCCGAATACGCAAGTTACCTTAACAGAAAACTGCTTTTAAAACGTGTTGCTCAAGCTGCATGCTACAGCTGTACACAAGCTACTGAACAGCATCTAAACCCACAAAAGGCGTTGTGTTTTTGTGTGTGTGTGTGTGTGTGTGTGTGTGTGTGTGTCCCCGACAAAAAGGGCTTTCACCTCCTCAGTCAGGATTCTTTAATACAAGGTCCGATCAACTTGAGTAAGTACCAAGTAGTAGTGGTGTGAGTCTGTGATTTTCTTCACTGAAGAAAAAGAGTCTGAGTTTGTATTCCTTTGATCTGATTCAACAGAGAGCTGATGCCTTCTCTGCCTTTGAAGTACACACCTCTGCCTTTCACAGATAAGAGTAAGGCCTTAAAATGCCTACTACTAACAAATGCAAATTCTGACTGCAATTGAGCTCAGTTATCACTCTGCATACAAGTGTTGGTGAAAGAACAATTCAACCTCACAAAAGACAAGTTAACTAATAAGGTATGCAACAGCTTCAACATCCTGTTATGACCATGCAAAAAAGTATTTTTATCATCTCAACTTCAGATGAAGTTCCAAATAAAAATATGGCTAACCCATTTTAATGATAGCTTGACCTCTAAGCTCGAGTCTTTCTCCTCAAATGAATCTTTTCCACACTCAAAACTTTCTAACTTGAGCTAAATAACTGAGGGCATGGGACAGAAATCAGAGCCAGTGACATCTGAGTCAGAAATGTGGCAATTCAATTTCTAACAACTCAGACATCAATCCAATTATTCTGCTAATACGGTTCGCAGTTACAGCTGCTGCTAATACAGTTACAGCTTTCTCTTTAACTTAACCTGGACGTGGCTGTATTTGAGGTTCCATACCTCCCACTAACCCCCAGACTGAAAGCTAATTAGAGCAGGAGCACATGAAGAGGTTAAGTACAAGCCAATTTGTTTCAGATGCAGCATAGTTCAGCCAACAGCACACACACACAAGTTAACGTGGTCCCTCACTACTAGGTCTGTGGTTTGAATCTCAGCTAGCTTAAGGATCTTGTCAGCATGATTCATTTTATGACAGAGGCATCTATTTGTAGCTCAAATTCCTTCCAAGTGCAGGAATTATTATTTAAAATAGCGAAGTAGGAAATATCTTGAAGGATCTAAGCATGCCTGAAGAAGCTCAGATGGCCTTTCGGTGGAGAAGCTGCATTTATCTGAAGTTTACAAATTTAATCATCACAGAGTGAATAAGTATTCTTCATTTCTAGAAGACAAGTACATAAAGCTGCCAGATGTATTCTGACAGAAAAAGGATGCAATATTTTAGATAATCCAGAGCAGAATAAAGCTACATGATTTGTGGCAGAGGCACTGCCAAAAGTCTGACAGCAAGCTGGATAAATCAATCCTGAAACAACAGAAGTCAAACAGCCTTAGCTATCAAACAATTTTTGGTACATGTTGCACATCCATTACATCAGTCCCGGAATAAATTTACAAACAGGTGTATTTCTTGAGGCACCTGAAGAACATTCTAACACTATTGTTGTTTAACTCAATTATAGCACCAAGAACATCCTTGATCTTGCCCTTTAAATTTCATCCAGTTCTGCTGATACAGAGGCATTGAAAGACACAGTGACTAGAAGCCAACTGAAAAGCACTTAAAGTATCTGTAACAAACCTAAGGTTCCAAACTGCAGTAATCAAGCAGTTTCAGTATGGTACTTGATTGCACTGACTCTCATCTGAGGGTCCAGGGGAAATACTATAAGTGGTTGTTAGTTGAAATAATGTAGAGCTTAACCCTCACTCTTCACAAAATATTACTGGTAGTAGTCTGACAGACACACCACCTTCTACAGAGGAAAAAAAATAATAATACTTTCTTTAGAGTGGGAATTCCACCACAGAGGTCCAGTTTCTGAGATTAAACCAGTCTCTTCAAGAAACTAACCACTTTAAAATAAGGGAAAAGGAAATGTCATTGAAAATTATCCATGACAATTTATAACAAGAATGAAGACCAAGGCAAAGTAGAATCCAAACAGGAATCATGATTCTAAGATGCTCATTGCAAAGCATTTCCTCAACCACCTGTTAAAAATTTGTACAACATTATTATCACACTGAACTTGATTTTTTTTTCTTAATAATATCTAGGCACTAAATAACTCCAATAATTTTGTTTAAGAAAGATGAGTTTTAAAGCAAATTCCATCATTACTCTATGCCTAAAAAGCTTTTCAAAGGAATTAGGGAAGAAAAAATCCATTTGTACCTGTTTCTTCCAGCCATATCGCTTTATATTTCCTTTGTTTGGTATTGAAAGCCAACCTTCAAGTCTTGATTCTAGTTCAAAAGAAAAAATAAAATAAAATTATATATTTAATGATAATAAAAAACAACACAAAGCAAACTACTACTAGAAAGGAAAATGTACTACATGCAGTAATAGGCAATTACCTATTTAGCAAAGCAGAATAAAAAGCACAGCTGAATAAAATGAAGATAAGCATTTATTTCATGCTCCATCACAAGCTAACACTATTATATAGTTACTGTAGAATAAAGTGAAACTGTTTTCCTTGATGCCAACATCTGAACATAAATAGTTTGCAAAGGGTCAGGCACAGGGAGACTGCTTTGAAAATGTGTTACAGCTTAAATAGAGGACTATTAAGAGCTTTTCAATGTAAATATCATTTACACTCATAGGGGCTACATGAAAATATTCAGCAGGAAGATGCAGCAAATAAACCAGAACCACATTTTCCAAGGGTAACAAAAAAGGAGAGCGCACAAGAGCAAGCAAAGCTACGCAGGTGTTCCATTACTCACAGAAGATAAGCATAGGAGATAAATAAATAAGGAATGCAGGAAGAATCAACTGGATATAAAGAATAAGAAACAGGCATTTTATTCAAATTTTCAGTGGACAGTTTTCCAAAGATTAATGTAATAACTTGTTTTGCTATCACAAAACCACTAATTTAACAATTATACAAAGAAGGGTCACAAGAAAAATAAGTCTGCCTTAATGTGAATTGTGGTCTCAAAACTTCCTCCAGCTGATACTGTCAGTTTATTTTTACTTTTTGATAGATATTATTAAAATTCTGTAGCCAGGTAACAGAATCGAGAAGCTATCCTGACTATCTTGACTCCACTGATCTAAACTGACATAGAAGTCTCAGAGTTTTGTAAATGGAAGAATGAAGTAATGAAAACAAAATTTTTCATTACAGAACTACAAATTAACCTCTATTTTTAAAAAATCATATAATATTCTAATGATTATAAAAGTGTGATTCTGTAAAATAAAGCATCAGTACAGAAAAATAGCTGATAATTATAAAGAATGCATACATCACAGTTAACTTGAACAGCAGCACTCAAAACTTAAAAACATCAGGTTAAAATTTGCTGAAACATTCTCCACAAATATTTGTGTAAAACTAAACTACTGGTTCCCTTCATAATCCCATGATAATTCCGTGAGTTTCATCCCAGTAAGCTCTGAAAAATACACCCAGATATGCAGAAGATACTTCGTTTTGTAAAATTACAAGGAGACTGACAGCCCAACCTTTTAAGAGACATTAAAATTAGGCTTGGGAAAATAAATAAATAAATAAATAAAAATTAAAAAAAAAAACAAAAACAAAATTTTCCAACATTAGCTATACAGCATACAATATTTGAAAGTAGAATATACTTTAAAAAATAGAATCACCTCTTAACATTTCTCCAAGAATACAGAAAATCCTCAAAATACTTGGTGGGGGCACTGAACTACCAAAATTACAGCTGGGAGAAAAGCGTGTTAACAGAATTCCTTCCAACATGAAACCTGCCTGGAAAAAAGAGAAATGTACTTCTTCCCTGCCTCTCAAATTTGGGTAAGAATTACAGGGGGCTGGGTGGCTGCCTCTCCTCCTCCAAGCTCTTGATATTCAGGGGCTTTGGAAAACGAAACACATTTCCTTCACATTTGCAGGCATCACAGCTAGTTCTTACCTTATTTTGAATATTTGTTCCTTAATGATTAATTTTATGTCAAGAGAAGATTCTTTCATTTTTAGACATTTCAGAAATATTCCAAAGCTCTAATCCTCTGTTGCAAAACAAAGCGATTACCCACAACTAAAGAACATACTACAGACTACTGAGATTCAAAAGGAACACTACACATCTGGGGAAAGAGTGGCACAGGAAATTTTGAAGAGAGATCCACTAATGACACATTTTTAAGATGCACCAGGTACTATGATGCTTATACAGGCAGCATGAGGAGGAGTATTTATCGAAGTTCACTTTATTTCAGTACGTTTTGGAAGAAATTTCAAAGGAAGTGGAAAGTGGATGAGCTGTTAAAAGTGGATTGGTTGACATTCCTTTCTGTTCACTACAAGTCTATTTTAGTGATCAAATACTATTTGAATGAGGAATAATTTCTGAGCTGTGAATAATGTCCTGCAGTTGAAAATATTTTCTGAATGTACTCCTTTTCAGCAAAGCCAACATTTGTCTGGAACTAGATGTACTCTTGAAAGGGCAGATGAGCCCTTTCGTTCCAGCCGTGCCACAAAGGTTTGTCTTAAGTACGATTTGCAGTGCATTTTTATTTCCCTTGACCGAGTTAGCAAACAGCAAATGCTCATCTGGATGTTTCACAAATATCTGATCCAGAAAAAGAATATTTATGAGAGTTCTGATAAAGTAGTTAGGAAAATGCGGGCTATCTAGACTATAAAGAAAGAATCTTCCAGCTTTGTCTTGAAAAGTAGGCTGAAACCTATTGCCTGACAACTTCCCCGTATTTTGGAAAGAATCCCAGAACCTAAACGTAGTATTCCCAACCCAGAAAAAACAAGATAGGCCTCAAAAATATGTTATGGCTAGCTGGATTCAAACAGTATATGAAGAAAAAAATATCCGTGAAAGGTACAGTTATTATAATTATCTGCCAGAATATATTAGAACATGGATTTGTGTTCTAAATAACTTCATGGCTGTTATTCATATTGCCATCACTGTAATTCAGTACATTAAAGAGGAGTTCTAACAGTATGTCTTCAGTAAAATTACAAAAGACAACCATTACTGTATTGATTTGAGACTAGTTGTTTTGGAGCTGAGGTGCCCTTATAATCAATACACTATCTTCTCTGTTTTCAGGAATCCCTGCTCCTCAGGCTCTTCCCATAATGACAGAAAAAAAACGGGGATTACTACCTCACTAATTTCTTCCAGTCCACATTCAAAAAATCATTCACCTAGATGGTCCACATTCATTATTCTATCCTGCCCACGTAAGACAATACTTAATAACATACACTGTAAACTATTCTGTCTTCCATTTAAAACTGCAGGGCAACTCAATTGTTTAAATTATCTTGCAAATCAGATTGAAAGAACTAATTCACAACGGGTTACGTGCTGTACAAGGATCAGAAAAAAACCCTTGAAGCTCATGATTAAGTTTTGTCTTCACAAAGAGCAATTCTGCTAGCAAGTCTTAACACTTGCATGATTGTAAAATCTAGCTAGGAGGAAGAGGCCTTCTAAAGGCATCATAAAAAAGGTCATATTTCAGCTGTTTCAGCAAGAACTCTAATGTGAGGTATCAACTGAGACAAGAGCTACTGTCCGAATTGATGATAAAAAGTGAGAAATATGGGAATTGCTTAGAAGTGAATATAAGAAGACTTTCCTCTATCTTTCTCATCAGGAGAAGAAAAATCCTGAGACCAGCCTGGATCACCTGAATAACCTGATCCTAATCTTGGGATCAGTGTAAATTGTTCTGGATGTACCATAACTTGAGGGGAGGGGTATTTAGTTCCATGACACACAGACCACCTCCAAGTGAGATGTAGCTGTAAAGAATACATTTTAGTATTACCTTGAGCTTAGTCTAAGAGCTTATCCAAGGTCTTCTGATGCCAAAATTTCACAAGATGCTCTTCCTGTAAATTATGAATTCTCTTCCTGTAGCCTCTCTGGTGACTAGCACCATAAGCTCCCTGAATATAAAAGAGATCCAATAGCCTGATCCCTCCACCTTTGGCATGCAAGATAGTGGAAAATGCCTAAGAATCACGGGTTTCTTCGGAATGCTGCCAACATTACTATTGCACCATTTCATACCAAGCTTTTTTTTTCCCCCTCAATTAAACCAGAAACTGCCCATCATCAGAATTGAAACCATGGAGCCATTCTATGTTTACATTATTTTGTGTTTTCATTTTTTCCCTGGTGATGTTTTTTTTTTTTTTACTAAGAAAACAGGAAAACGAATAAATCATACTGTATTTATTTAGTAATTCTACTGTTTGCATTAAATATTCTAAGGAATGTCTTTCCCTTAAAAGCAGATGCATCAGCTAGAGAATCTTGTTGACTACCCATCAGATCCATGTCTTAAACAAGAAGCTATTTGTGCTCTGAAGAAACGTCTGTGTATGAGTTCCTCACCAAAAACACTGACCAAATACTTCAGAAAACATCTGAGAACAAGAATGGAAATGCTACAGAAGTGATGGGAAACTAGCACACAGTTGAAGACAAACAAAGTTCACGCTACTAAATTGTAACAGATGAACTTCTGTGGTATGCCACCTTCTGTTTTGAAGAATAATTATTTGGCTTGCAGAAAAATAACTACATGCTAGATAATTTGGATGGACGGAAAGGTAACCTGGAAGGAATAGAGACATTGTCCAAGCTGCAGGGTATCAAGTTAGGAAAGCTAAGCTACAGACAGAATTCAATCTGGCCAAAGTCATCAAGGACAAGAAGGGCTTCTACAGGTTCCTCAGTGACCAAAGGAAGACTAGCGAAAATGCAGGCCCTGAAGGAAACAGGAGACTTGTCTACCTAGAACAGTGAGAAGTCTGAGGCAGCGAGAGCCTTCGTTGCCTCAGTCTTTACCAGCAAGACCGGCCTTCAGAAATCCCAGGTCCCAGAGACCAGACTGAAAGGCTGAAGCAGAGAAGATGTATCCAGCTCTTCTTTGGTGGAAGATGATCAGGTCAGGGAATGCCTGAGCAAACTGGACATGCACAGGTCCATGGACCCAGACGTAGTCCTGAGCAACCTGCTTGAGCAGTTGGTTTGGACCATATGACCTCCAGAGGTTCCTTCTGACCATTCTATGATTCTGTCAATATCCTTTTTCTATGGCATGGGATACTTAGACCTTGAAGACTGGATTTCTTTTCCTGCTTATAATGCTAGTGCACTCCTGTGCTCTCTACTTACCTAACACTGTGTTAAACATGACTATACATGTATTAATGTCAGGATTTCTCTAAATTACCTAAATAGCTTCTTATACAGATTCTAGTTAATTCAATCTTGCTCAAAAAACTTACAGCGTATAGAGACATAATCTAAATTTATTATTAAGTAATATACATCAGAGGCCATAATATGTATTAGACCTGTAGGACACTAACACCAGCAACAAAACTGCAGTAAAAAACAAAGACATGAAAGAAAAAAGCACAAAAAATGAGGGAGAGGGGTGAAAGGGTGGTAAAACAGAAATGGAGGGGTAATGAGTATAGAAGACAAAGGGAAAGATTGTAAGAATTTCTGGTAATTATGATATTCTAATTAACAATGAAAAGGCCGTTGACCTGTAAACATTTGGCATATACAGAAGTTTCTGCCTCAAAAATCAAAGTGGAGGGTCAGACAGACAGAAGCCTGTCGCATGGTCCAGAAAAGGGCCACGAAGATGATCAGGAGGCTGAAGCGCCTCTGATCTAGTGGGTGTCACTAGAAAGAGAAAGGCTGAGAGAGCTGGGGATTTCCAGCCCATAGAAGAAAAGGCTCTGGTGAGACCTCATGGCAGCTTTTCAATACTTAAAAGGGGCTTATAAAAAAGACATCAACTTTTTACTTGGGCAGATAATAACAGGACAAGGAAGAATGGTTTTAAACTAAAAGAGGGGAGATTTAAATTAGAGGTTAGGAGAAATTCTTCACTCAGAGGGTGGTGAGGCACTGGCACAGGCTGCCCAGAGAAGCAGTGGATGCCCCATCCCTGGAGGTGCTCAAGGCCAGGCCAGACAAGGCCCTGGGAAACCTGATCTAGTGGGTGTCAGCCCTGCCCATGGCAGGGGGGTTTAACTAGCTATTATTTAAGGTCCCTTCCAATCCAAGCCATTCTGTGATTCTATGAAGTCTATGCACATCTCCAAAGAGAAAACTGGAAATAACAAACCTCATGAATCACACAAAGAAACAGCATACTCCTACAGACTTTGCATGATCTGAGAGACAACAGCATCACATTGACATGTTATTAATCTTAAGAAGAAAATAAGGAAGCTGCTACCAGATGGAGGTAAGTGGTGTTTTCTTCAGTGCAATACACAAGAGCCATTTTGCTGAAAATGGCTGAGAAGCAAAGTAAGCAAGCTTAATGCTACCCTTTTAGGTTAAATAAATCTAGTCCATTTTCTTGTAGAGAAATGTAGGCTTTCTATTTACAGGAATTCAGAAATTCTCAGCAAAAAAAAATAGAAACTACAGACTTCTTCATTTAGGAAATGCTATCAAATATAAGAGACATTTCCAAATAGTAATTTGAGGTGGAAAAAAATGTTTTAACAAAAGTTAAACGTAAAAACCTCTGATTCCTTTTTGGCCCTAATTAAACAGAAGCCACCGAGAATTAGTATCTAACAGAAAAGCTCATGAGAAGTGCTCCTGAAAAGGATTGAAAGTTCAGGAATACCTAAGGGGGTAAAAAAGGGGAGTTCCTAGCAGGTGTCAGACAGCTAAGAAAATTACTTCATCTATCTAATAGCTCTAAGAATTCCCAACATTGAGTTTTAGTGGAAGTTTGGCTACAGAAGACATTTCTGAAACAAATAAAATTATATTTACATTACAATATGGCAATATCCTGAGGGTTTTTACAGACTGAATTGTCAGAATGCAAAAGGCTTCTTGGAAAGAGTGGAAGTTGCAAAGAACAGACCACATGATTATCTGAATAGAAGTTAATTCTAAAACACAACGGATTTCAAAATGAACATCTGAAAATATACTAGGGGAAGACAGGATACAAAAATAGACACAGAAAAGAATAACTACATAAAAATATACTGCAAGTTCCACAACCTACCTGAAATTTAAATCATTTTATGACCATTGGAAAAGTTCTAGAATGTAGCAATCTGTGCAACATGAAGTGCATACACAGGAAAAGAGACACCTAAAATATTTCTATCTACTTTTATCCAATTACTTATCCACTGAGGTCTTAAAACACCTAATATAGTATTTTATTTTCACATTTTTGAATCTGTTTTTCTATAGTGCAATCAGAATGTAAATTTGTAAGACCAGCATTTATAAAGAATTTTTAAAAAATTATGTAACTGTACACAGAAAATAAGCCTCACTCCAATATATGGAAATTGTAAAGCACTGATTATTGCTAAATATTTTCTCCCATATCTACAAATACAGCAATGTGAATATGCTAGCTAATTATACTTTTCAAATATTGGAGGGTGGAAAATCACTAACCAGTGTAACAGTGGGTCTCAAAATACAGTGCCTGTAACAAACTATATGGAAATGGTTAGCTATGATTTGTCCGGTACTATTTGTTCTTCTTTTATTCTGTTGAATCAGAGTACCACACTCTGCTATGTATTATTTAAATTTCAACTGTTATTTTTCCACACAGGCAGTTATTACCACTTTTCATAAAGGTGTTACATTACTGTGACCAACAGACAAGATTAAGGCAATTTTGGGTTCAAGATATAAGATACAATCAAGATGTTACATAAACGCTGGCCCTTTACTGTATTCATTGTACATTGCACGCTACAGTCATTATATTCAAACAGTAATAATTACAGCTGGAAAGATATTCTTTTCACATAAGTGGATAAAAATTATGGTAATACCATACCATAAAGTACAATGAATAATGTGAGAATTTAAGACTCAAGTATGAGCACTTCAGCCATAGCTGCTCATACAATACCTTCCTAAACTACACATACGAGCAAAATCAAGTACTTAAATGTACTTTTCTCTTACCTGAAAGATTTCCATCTGTTTCATCTGTCTGGAGACTAGCAACACTGGTGGAATCCATTCCTTGCTGGAGGTCCAAAATTTTCCTTCGCAGTTGTTCTATATCACTCTCTTTGCTATCCAGCTGCATCTGTAGTTCGTTCCTGTATGTAGATTCTTCTGCTAGTTGCTGTATTTATATACACACACATAGTTACCTTGATACCAAAAATACGGTAGCAAAGTATTTTAAAAACAAAACTCTTTAGACTTTGAAAAAAATGTAGTAAACACTTTTGATAGAATTAATATAAATTATTGTAATAGAAATGTTCCTGAAATCTAGGAAAAATATTAAATATCAAACCTTTAGATGATGTAGAAATTTTTAATGGAAATTTTAGTAGAATTTGTTACTTTTTTTTTTTTTTTTTTTTGAGAAGACCACTGCCTACCAGAGAAAAACTATGTATGAATTGTATACTACACCATATTCAGTTATCATAAGGTACCAGCAGTTTCCATGGTTAAGAATTTACGAAGGGGAAATGAATGAGAACAAGGACAGCTACACACTTTCCAAGTTCTCCACCTCACTAAAGCTCTGTAGGCTAGTATATCTGGAAAAAAAATTCCTTTTCTCAAGTGGACAAGGAGCTTAACATTTTTCCTGTGCAGAGAACTTCAAAATGTGACCAAAATTAAGATTATTTTACCGCTTGCATTTCATTGACCTCCTTTTGGTATTTCACTACCATCTGATTGAATTTCTCTTTTTCTTGATTAAGCTCTAACTGTAGCTTTCGGTTTTCCTTATCTTTCTTCCTCAAATCTTGCGTGCTTGCTTTCTTTCTGTCTATTTTAAAATCTTTCCGATTCATTATCTCAGCCAGCTTATTGACAGCCTGTAAAGAGAAACAGAAGATCAGTAAGAAAAATTATATATGCAAGCAAGTTTCATACAAAGTTTCTAAGTTCATCTTGTTAGAGGTTTAGATCAAAGACTTGCGTATTTTTGCTAAGAATGGGAGTTACACTTCAGTAAATCATTATGATCAATTCCAAAACCAAAAATGTGTCCTCATGGATACGGTAAAATGTGTAACTCAAGTTACTGAATTTATCAAACTGATGCCCATTTCAAACAGCAAAAACACAAACGAGGGCTGAAACCCCCCCCTCCTTCTCCTGAAATCCAACTTCTCCAGTCACCTCCATCCTGTCTTTAAAAAGGTTTCCCAAAATTACAGAAACGCAGTCAAGTACAGCAGAATTTTTCTGTTGCCCCCACAACACACGTCACCAAATTAAACGGTCCTTACTCATGTTAGGAGTAATACCGAGAAGTACTCAGCATCAACTTTCTTTCAACTGTAAATACCAATACATATTATACATCATGATTAATATAAATTTAATCTCAAGCTCTAAGAGTCAGCGGCACAAAAAATGAATGGGAATATATTGGATATGCAATGTCTCATTAATTTATTCAACTATATAGAAAGTAATACCTGGGTCTTCAGAGTTCTCTCAGTGTTGATACTCTTCTCATACTGCATTCTAATATTATTGATTTCCTCCTCCTTTTTTATCTTGTATTCTGTTAAAATAATAATCAACTTTGAGATTTTAGGACAAGGTAAGAAATCCTAAACTTAATCAATTCTGTAATTGTACCATTCTATTTCTCCAGATTCCTATTATGTTATCTAAAGTGCAAAATACAGTTTGCAATGATAGATATTATTGCCTTACTGCTACTGTAGTAACAGAAAATTACCAGAAGAACATCTTAGAAAGGCACCAAGCTGAACTACTACAAACAACATGCATGTGTTTGTTTCCTGTTAAGTTTGTTGCTCCACTCCCTTGGTGTTTGCTCTGTCAAAAATGTTTCTGCCATACCAAAAACATGGAGTAAATAGCCACACAGAATAGGACTGATATACCTGGACCCACTTTCAGCACAGATTCTGAAGCAAGGAATAAAGAAAGTATGGAGGAAAAGACTTTTTTTTTTTTTTAAGAAAAGAATGACTTTGTTATGTTTCCTCCTCTCCAACCCATCCACCCACACCAGTTACTCAATTCTATCAGTCTTTGTATCACACCTCCAGTCTCCTGATTTGTTTCCAAAATTTCTGTAAGTACGCATTTCACTGATAAGGATTTCTCCACAAAAACTACAAACTACAAATTATTAAAGAATAATTTTCAAATACTTATGAAGTTAGAAACTTCGTAAACTAAAAAACACCAAGCAACTAAAAACTGCTTTCTCGCCCTATCCCTGGCAAACCCCTGCTATTACCAAAACGCAGAACAAAGGAAAAACATTCTTGTATGCTGTCCTTCCCACATAAGTTTGCAACAACACTGGCAACACTACTGATAAGGCCTTTCCTCTCATAGTCAACATACATTAAAATATGCTGCCTGATTATGTATTTATATACTCTTGTTATAAATGGCTCAGTCTTCAAAATAGGATTATAATCAAAGATCAAAGTTTACAATTTATTAAAGGAATAGAGGTAAGCAAACAGCACTGGGTGCGCCGGGAGTCTCTGCTCCACCAGCGCTGTTTGCTTACCTCTATTCCTTTAATAAATTGTAAACTTTGATCTTTGATTATAATCCTATTTTGAAGACTGAGCCACTTATAACAATTTGGGGGCTCGTCCAGGATAAGCTTCTACCCATTGTGTTAAAAGATCTACTATTACCAATAGATATTTTATCCTCTCTACTTCGGGCAATTCAGTGAAATCAACTTGTACTTTCTCAAAAGGCCTATAAGCTGTTTTGTTTTGTTTCTCCCTCCCGTGGCTGCTTGTTGAAACTCTTTCTTATTTATCTTCTGATAAGTTATGCAATGTTGTGTAATTTGCTTTGCTGTTTCAAAAAAAAAAAAAAACAACAGTGCAAACAAATTGTTTTAGTAAATGATCACTTAACACCTTTGTACCCCAATGTGTTTGTGCATGCAAACGTCCCAATATTTGCTTCGCGTAAGCTTTTGGCAATGTCTCTCTCCATTCTGCTTTGATAATCAGTCAGCCCTCTTCCCCCCCACCAGTACTTGGGAAACTGACCACACTCCGCAGCAAATACACCAACACTTCTCAACTGTTAGTTACTTAGATAATGCTCCCACCTTTTTCTTGTCGCACTCAAAGCATTTAAAACCAAAAACAGGATCACAAGATACACCGCCAGGCCCATATATTGGGCACCACCACTCAAAACTTGGATAAAACAGCACTTCTTTTCAGTCTGTCATGCACTTCATTCGTCTCCGCCCACTCCCCTCGTGGAGAACACGGAACTGTGGATCGGAACTCCGCACTCACACAGCACAATCGTGCAATCACACAGAGAGGCCTCCAGCACATCTCATTCATACCACAAGAATATAATTTAGAATGATAACCAACCAAACAAGTATTGTCTCTGACTGTGTTCTTCATGGTGTGACTCCACTTTGTTTCAAACCCTTACACTTACACAAATACTTTCAACATGAAATACCTGGACATACAATTATTAACACTCCAGTTAGCATCCCTCCAGCAGCTGAAAACATACCGTTTGTCCACAGCTTCAGGAGATGTTTGCTCCAGCGGTGAGCAGCTGAGAGTGGAGTCCCCTCTGAGCAAAACACTCAGGGTGTATCTAGGGGCGTCTGCTCTGCAGCCGAGCAGAGTGTCTCCTGCCTGGCTCGCCAAAATGACTCACAGAAAGCTGACTCCACGATCAGTAAGATTGTAAAGTAGGCACGTTTACTCAGTTCTGGGCGGCACGGGGCAGGTAGTCCCACCAAAGTCGTGCAGGCCTAACGTGGCAACTTGCTTTGGTTATATCTAGTAAAGGGTTACATATACATGAACATTCCTATACATATGCATAACCTGTCCCTTTGTGAACAGTCCTCCTTATCTCAGACCCCTTGATTAAAGTCCGAACCATGAGGTTGCTTTTGATCTGGTTCTCGGGGTCCGAGAGGCTCCTGTTATCTGGAGGTATAAGTGCAGCACAGGCACATCACAAATGTAGCACATATTCATTCTTAATCAATTGCTCTCTAATTTCTAATTCCAGTGTTTCAGCTACAGCATACTTGCTCTCTTCCGGATCCACTGGGTATTCTACTATTAACATTAATGTTCAAAGCCTGACAGACCCCGTCCTCCGTGGACCCAAATATCAATCAAAATACATGGGGTCTTAAGGGTTCTTTTGGTCATTCCATCATATAATACTGGACCATTTTTAATTTACTCTTTAATTTTCTGGGGCCCCTATTGTTCCAATTTCTAATCATTATTCCTAATGGACTTTCTGGTAATTTGCTCCCTTTCTTCTGGTCCTTGGTCATCAATTCTGTCTGACCCATCTAGGAATTTTACTATAGCAATTCCCCACAGCTCTTGGTTACCTTAGTAAGAGTGTCTTGCAGGGGATTTAGGACCTATCACCCACCCACGAATCCATGAATCCTATAGGAACCACTCTATAGGAATCACTTCCTTCACCGGCCAAGTCCCTCACAGGAGATTGGAACCACGGTTAGAAGACCTCCACACTGACTTTGGAAGTCTCAGTTACACTCTTACACACACACACAGGCAACCGGATCCCACCTAATCGAACGGTATACTCCTTAAACACTTACAACTCCGTCGTCTTCGTTCGGATCTTCGCGCACAGAATTACGGGGCAAAATACAGTGCTGCAGCCAGCAAGGGAGCTCATAAAAAAATCAGATTCTTTGCTTACCTTTATTCAGGTTCAAGATGGCATTAGTCCCAACCTGACTCAAACAGGAGCCACCAAATGGTGGGGCGCCTCTCCTAGATCAAATCAGAATTCAGGAACCAAAGCCATCCCGGACGAGCCCCCAAATTGTTATAAATGGCTCAGTCTTCAAAATAGGATAATAATAATCAAAGATCAAAGTTTACAATTTATTAAAGGAACAGAGGTAAGCAAACAGTGCTGGGTGCATCCTGGTGGAGCAGAGACTCCCGGCGCACCCAGTGCTGTTTGCTTACCTCTATTCCTTTAATAAATTGTAAACTTTGATCTTTGATTATAATCCTATTTTGAAGACTGAGCCATTTATAACAAGAGTATATAGTCCAAATGCACAAAATTAAAATGCAAATCCACTGATATGAACGAGGTGGTAATTCTGAACTCAAGTGACATCTTAAGGGAGCTGAAATATCAATGCAGCCTTACTGTACATACTGGAGATGGAAACGATGGAAACAAACACTTCATTAAGTACATTTTATGCGATACGAAATGAGTCCTTAACAACTTTCATGCACTCAAGTGCATGGCTGGCAGAAAGGGTTAGACAGACAGCATGCGGAAGAGCTGTACTGAACAGGCATTCCTGCAACACCTGCAGGAACTTATGTGCTAACTTGCTTTAAAAACCGAGGGAAGCAAGCCGTGAAGATCACTTTTTCCTGCCAGCCAAAGCTGTGATTTTAATCATTTGCCAACAGTAAAGGTAGCACATGGGAAGAGAATGTAAAAACAGTGGCAATTTACATGGAATTTCAAGATGAAAGCAGTGACTTATTTTTCCACCAAGCTATTTCACCACTATGGAAGACATACAGGACCGTCCCTTCAAATTTCCCACTTTCATTTTGCCACATGCTTCCAGTTCATTTGTGCTTCATAACAAGTGATTTAAAACTCCAAATATGACATACCTTCCTCCTGCTTCCTAATTTTTTCACTGATCTCTGAATTTTCTTTTGTTATTAAATCAACATCCTTGGTTAATGTGTTATTAGTTTCTTCGAGCTAGATGAAAAACAAGCACATTTTAAAATAAAGAACTTTCCATAAATAAGAAAAATATTTATAATGCTATTATTTTAAATACACTTAATCTGTAAGAGTCTTTTACTTGGAATGTCTTCCTCTGAGTACATCCAAAAAATCTGCTTATCGTTCAAAACTGAATTTAAAAAAAAAACTTCTCATCTGTCTTGATTTACCAGAAGGATAAAAATATCACTGTCCCAGAAAACATTTTTAAAATGATCTTTGCAGAACTGACAACACTGTAGTATATAATCATAAATCCAAGCAAAGTTAGATAGATTGCAGTTATTGAATGTGACAGTTCAAGATTTTGTGGCACTTTGGAAAAAATAGTACCAGGGGTTCTTTTAAGGAAATAGTTTATTAATGGGGAAAACCTCAAGACTTCTGAGTATTGGTGTTTTTTTGTTTGTTTGTTTGAAGGACTAAATTTTGCAATAAGATTCTGTAACACTATACAAATTTACAAGACTTGAAAAATAAATTGGGCACTTACAAGAAATGACTGGAAAAGGCTTAATAACTAATTACAGACATTGGCTGAATTTACAGGCTGGCTTCACCTCAGATTTTCATGAGTCTACATTTGTTTGAGAGTTCAGATGGTGGACACTTAAAAAAAACCAGCTAAATCCCAACTGAGTACAAACCTAGGATACTGAAATCATCAGTTGTGCCCACAAGACCTTACAAATTAAAAGATACATTATATACATGTATACCCTCCAGCTGGAGGATATATAGAGATATTAATTAGAGCAGAATAATTTACCCTTCTTATGATGCTGTCCTTATCAGTCATTTCTTGCCTATGTCTTGATGCTGCTTTTTTGCTTTCCTGACTCAGTTCAAAATACTGTTCTTCAAGGAGAGCTCGTGCCAACTGTTCCGACTCAGCTTTGGTTTCAGCTAAATCCAGCTGTGTAGTGAGTGTTTCTCTGTAAAAAGAATAAGATTTTGCTTTTCCTATGCAAAATATTCTGTATTTTCAGGACAAAGTGAACAAACCCAGATTATATCATCCAGTTAGCTGTTATTATCTTAGTTTCCTAAGAAGAACAAGATTAAGACCACAAGCTGTTTTTGTTATATTTTGATGGACTACACAATCTACAACAGTAAGTTTACTGTAATTCAATTCAAATTTGTATCATCCATGAAACACCAACCCTTCAGAAACCAAGTGTCAAGTTCTCCTGCCTTTAAGGAATAAAAAAGGCAAACTGGGTAAAGTTTCTGAACATATATAGTGGTTCTATGTCTATGCAACTCTTTGTAGAAAGAGTTGCAAATTCTATCTAGAGCTTGAGAGGCAGTTCAGCACACAAGCCAAATTTTCTTGCTCTTGTTTGGAGTAAAGTCCTATATTTGCTTGCAATGAAACCCACATAAAGCACAGTGGCCAGTCTAGCACCCATGAGTCAAATTCACCCATCAACATGTGACTTGGCTCACAGCATGGGGAAGGAAATAAAGGTGGAAACACATTACTGGAGTATGGGCTCCTAAGTCCTTCCTGCACTGCAAAACAAAATGTGTTTTATGTCATGAAGTATGTATTGCCATGGAATTGATTGATTTGATACATCTGTAGCATATAAAGGCTCTAGAAATATACAAAATATTTACCAGGATGGTACAATCAAATCAAAAAAGACCTGTGGTTTTTTTTTTTTTTTTTCAAGCGAAAGGACGACTACCACAGACTGGAATACTTTTTCAAAATTTTTACAACTTCCACATACAAATCAAGTTCAAGCAAATATGAATAGCCATATTTGTCTCTGTCAGCAGAGGTAACATGCTGTGTATTTGCCATTTTACAAGGTGTTACAGAACAGCTTTGAGGCCTGTTTGAGGTTGAAAGAATTTAACGTCTGATACAAAATCTTCATGAGTGAGACCACTATATGTAAAATTTATGTCTATTTAACAAATACAATGGGCATACTTTTCGTTTTGCAATTCCTGCATTTTTCTTTGAGTTTCTTTATTCTTTTCATCAATTTCCTCTTTCAGTTCCTTAACCTGAGTTTTGTAAAGTGTCTGCAAAAGAAAGCAGAAAAAGAGAGAATCATTATTCAAGTTCCATACAAAAATTTATGGGTTTGGTGCTTGGTTGGTTTTAATCTGTCAATGTATGCCAGTACTACCTTTAATGGAATTTCCTCCTCCTTGCCTGCCCAATACACTCTTTCCCAGTAGCCTGTGTGTTGGGACCTGATCTGATTAGGTTAGTTTTCAATTTTCTAGTCTGTTCTTCTACACAATTATACAAACACAGCTACCCACAAAAGGGAAGGAAGGTATCCAGGGAACAAGTGGGCGGGTCTCTTGGAAACAACAGGATCCAACTGCATCATCTTTTAGATTTTGAGATAGGGATGCTAAGTCAAACTAAAGCTTAGTACTGTTCTATGCTTCCATCTGTTGTATTTTTTTCTATCTACGCATCTTTTCTCTTAGACTGAAAGAATTTCTTGTGTACAGACTGACTTTGTATTAGTAAGTGATTCAACAGAAGTCTTATCAATATGAATAACTTGTGTTCCTAATCACTGTATTAACACCAGTACCAATTCTGTACATTCAAATTTGATCTTCTACAATAATGTACTTTTACTAAGTTTTCATACTGGATTAGGAATGCCTCTTGTTTAGACTACATGCTTGTGAAAAAAGAAAACTGAGAATGACACAACACACTGGATATCCTTGTTGGGAGACTTACAGAGAAATGCACAAAAACCTTAAACATACAATAAAATTATAATTACATGCAGTGTAGTAAATGCCTTTTTTTTTTTTCCTCTCTCTTTACCTTCAAGAAGAACTGAATTTAAAGACTACTTCACAAAGTGCAATGTATCTGTGTGTATTCACAAATGTATTTAAAGTTCAGGCCTTATAGAGGATCTCATGCTATTTTTCTATCCAGAGAAATAGAACACATCACACTAATTCCATAAAATACACATCTTGGCTACACAGGATACAGAATAAGGCTCTTCTGTACTCTCCAGGGACTTGGGTACAGAAAATCTTTTTAGAAGGATGAGGAGTAAGTGCAGAATGCTACTGGATCTACGGTCCTTAAATAGGTAGATCAATCATATGGAATATATTCCAGTATATATGGAGATTTTGAACTCTCTACAAAGTTTGCACTTATGTCAGGAAAAGAACTCTTTTCCAAGGTTAAGGTACCAACTATTCTAATAAATAGATGATTGAGCTATTCATCTTAACATACTGAATTTGGCAATCAAGCAACTAAAAGGCAACACATCAAACAGACTGTCTGTAACATAATATTTATGTTCTCTAATTTATTGTTCGGTTTTTGTCTCAAGCACGATTTTGTGAATTGATGTCTTACGCCAGGTTAATTCGACTTACATTTAAAAAACCTAAATATGCAAAACTATTCAACTGTTCAATGACTCCATGTCAAAATGTAACATTCAAGATTCTTAGTGATCCTTACCGAAAAATACTGCTCAGCTTCAAGCTGATCCTGAAGCTCACGCATTTGACCTTCATTTCCTCTGTACTGTCTGTGAAAGAATAAAAAAGTGTAAAAAGTCAGGTACGAACAAACGACAAAAGCTGTTTCTAACCAAAACAGCATCCCACAATGATTTTATATTTGTACACACATTATTTCCAAGACCTACAGTTTGCTTTATCCTAAAATTCTGATTTAATTATGTTCTTCATTCTACCCTGATGATTGTTTTAATTATGTATGCTAGAAGAAAAGTAGTACTTTAAATGGAGAAATGCTGAGTTATATTTTCAGCTGAAGGAAGCTATGATAGAAGCATGATTAATGAAAAATGTCATTCAAATTCAGAAAAATAATCAGGTAGTTAAAGAGGATAAGTCTGTTGACTCCCACACAGTAAAACCACAAGTCCCAGATGATACCAGTAAGTAGCATCATATTCAATCCACAAGGAAGCCAAATTTCAAACAAAGTGGCATCTATGCTGTGATGTAAACAATAAGCCAGGGACTGTTCCAAAGAATAGCTCAAGGTTTTTACTTACTTCGCAAGTTGAGCCAACTCAACTTCCAGTAATCTCTTTGCTTCCAATAACGTATTGATTTCCTGTTTCAGTTGCTTCTCAGAACCCTTCAAGTTATCTGCTTCAAAAGCTTGTGCCTTTAATTCGTTCTGTGCCATTATTCTCTTATTTGTCTCTTGCTCTAGCTGCAATGTCAGATTCTTTACCTAAATGAGAAATTATTTCAGTGTAGGAGTATTTGCTGAATAGCTAATTGCATTCAGACGAAAGTTTCATTTAGGGATTACTTGTTAAACACTGTTGCCTAGATGCTACATATTGTATAACGTATGAAAATATTCTTAAATCTCCGAACATTTCAGTACAACAAGCTTACAGAAAGCTTCTGTACAGAATGTAATGGTACAACACCACATAATAAATCTTGCCTATACTTTGTTTATTTCAAAGGCCCAAATGTATTTTATTGATCTTATCTGAAAAGCAACAATGGAAGAAACCCAAGTTACCTGCTGAAATGTCCTGCAAACCACCCTGTGGACTTCAGATCTTAACAATTTCTCACCCTAGAAAACACCGCAGCCTACCAGCTAGCTATATGAAAACTCATTTACATGAGCCATAAAGAGAAGTGTTACCACACCCCTTCCCAGTGGTCTGTAAAGAAAAGTAGGGATCTATCTCTTACTAATATTACCTAGTCTTCACATTCACTGGTCTAATTGGCCTTCCCTGAACAAATACTTTTCTGGGGAATGCAAACCCAGAACTGCAAACCATCCAAGCCAGCTAAACTACATAGTCAAAAATCAAAAGAGCAGCCAAGAACAGAAATTACCTACCACCCAACTACAGTCTTCAGTGCTACCAATACACGTATTAGAAAGAAGCTCAGTGTAAGTGAATTTTATTTTCTATTTCTTAATGCAACTATCATTTCTTATTTATACAGAAATTTCATGGTGAAAATTCTACTTACTTCCTCTTCTAGTCTTTCCTTTTGCTCAAGAAGGTGTTCCAGTTTCTGCTGAGATTGCTTCAGGTCAAAGTCTAGCATGGAACACTGTTTTTCAGCCTGAACTATTCGATTCTCTGCCTTTTCTCTTGCTGCCCTTTCTTCCTTTACTTTTTTTTCCATTTCTAAATGGGATTAAGGGAAGAAAAACAATGAAAAAGAATATGTAGCATCTGCAAGAATCTCTTTATAAACAGTCTTACATTTATACTTATAAACAGTCTTACACCCTAACATTTTTCTGACCTTCTTGTTCAGCTATTTAAGTTCTTCAGCTGTTAGATGAACTGACTACTGAATAAAAGTTTCCTGGCATTGCTGCAAGAAACGTTTTAAAAGAAATATTAATTCCAATTTGCATTCAATGCATTGGAATATTATCATGACAAATGAAAAATAAACAGTGAAAAAAATGCAAAATTCAGTTTCTTGAAGCAATCCCTACGAAATGTTATAGACAAAGTTTCATTCCAATGAATGGATAGTAGATGGAAAGAAAAGAAAGGCTATCTTCTCAGCTTTCTGAAAAGTTATGAACTCCACATGCAGATACCAATGACCTTCACAAGTAAAACCTGATATATTCAACTGAGCTACCATGACACTTCTTTGATTCATGGATGTTTATCTATAAAAGAAACTTCATCATTTCAGACAACCCTTGGAGAAAGTCAGTATTTTTAATGCCGTTACATAGTTGTGAATGTCCCAAGACATCTCTGTCTTGATAACACATTCTTTCAATTCCATTTAGCATTAGCCAGAATTATAGGACTCAGTAACATTTTAGAAGCCAATGAATGTTCTGAATTGCAAAAGCAGTAAGATATTTTGATTTGAAACGTATTTTCTTTATATTAGGAATCAAACACTTGTGTAAGAGTATCACATCATTAGATCATGGGTTTAAGGTATCATAATTAAAATACTGTTTAATATGTATTTATCCAAAACTTACAAGAAATACTTACCACACATCGCAACTGATTTTGCCTCTTCTATTGACTGATGTTTGTCAGTTAACCGAGCTTTAGTCACTTTGTGTTCATTTACTTCCTGTTCTAACCGGTCTTGTAATGACTTTAGTTTGTAGTTCAAATCTATCTCTAAATTATTCTTTTCCTAAAGATAAGAAAAAAAGTTACCAGGTTCCTATAATAATTCTGTAATATCTGAAGGAATACTTCCCCCCTTCCCTTTTTTAGTGTTAACTTCTTGTTATGAAGAAATTCTCAATGTTATTTTCCACTTTTATAAAGAAGGCTAAGAGGCAAAATCTGTATTCAGTGCCCTGGAGAAAACTTCACTAGCTTTTATTTCTATTCTATAAATTCAGAAGATAATGAAATCTTCTCAATTTGTGTAGTAGTCTCAAATTGTAGTAGTCGCCTAAATTGGAAACATAACTATGCCATTAACAACACTAGAGCACAAAGGAATTTTTATTATTGTCACCTGGATGCAATTACGTTATTTCATTAGTGGTAGCCCCAGCCATTAACAGTAACTCACAAAACTAGCAAGACAGATGAGCACTGAGAGACAGGACTTGCCTTTGGGTCACCACTTCATATATTTCCAAATGAGAAAAATAACTTCTTGCACCTTCCCTAACCTTCCAGAGGTGATCGTCTCTCTCTGGTTTATTTGGATAGGACACATAACACTGAAAATCTTTACCTGACCTCAAAACACAGAGGTATGCAAGTCCATCTGGAAAAAACAGTGCAGGATTTCCTTTTGTTTTCACCTGAATCTCTATCTTGGGGCAGAGACCATAGATATTAGGGGAACATGCTGTTGTCATTCTTTAGGAAAGTAAAAATTTAAACGGCTCAGCTCCACGGTTGATTAAAAAAAAAAAAAAAAAAAAAGGTCTGGCACTGACCCAGCCAAATATAAATCAAGCAAAAAACATAAAGCTTTTTTTTGTTTTGTTTTGTTTTTAATTTCAATTCATAGATTTCTAGGAAGTAAGTTTAGGCAGCAGTGGTCAGACAGGCAGAACAAAAATTACTTGCTATTTACAAAGGTCTGGAACCTTGATTGTACAGTGAATGACAAACATGAATTTTACTCCCAAAGCTACAAGAACCAACTGAGAAGCTACAAGACCTTACCATCCTGATAAGACTATAAATCAGTTAGCACTATATAGTTCATCATTTAAACACAGAACTGATTTGGACCCAGGACATAAACCTAGCAACGTTTATTATTACTACTTGAAAATGCAGTCAAAACTGCCAACGAACATTAGCCTCATCATCATCTTACCATACCTTTTCTGAATGATTAAGCAGATCCTGTGCTTGTTTTCTTTCTGCTTCCACTCTTTCAAGATTATTCTTAAGGTTTTTTACTTCTTCTTGTAAAGTTGTAATCCGGACTGTCAAAAAATGAAATATCATTCAGTATTTATTACTAGATTTAAATCAATATTTCTTTCCACAACCTTTATTGATTTCTGGGACTGTAAAATATTCTCACCTTCAAATTTTTCATATATGCAAACGCTACACATTGTAAAGCAAACTGATCTTTTTAGCTACACCATTAGAAATGGTTCATAGAAAACAAATCATATGCAAAACCTGGAACCTGCCTCCCGTCACTCCCAATATCCAGTATGAAAACTTCTTTCCATTAATGCAAATTCTGCTGTGCTATGCAACCAACACCTTTTCCAATGTTAACTCCACTAATGTATAAAATAAAATGCATTACACAGAGGCAATCTCAAATGGATATACAGGAGTTAATGAAATACATATTCACCTGACTAACTTGAGCATTCTTCCCTGAATAGATGAACTAATTAATCTCCCACCACCTACCAAGAGACCCTGTCAGGTATCAGATGTTTATATTAAACACTAAGTAATGGTACGCATTTCTAGAGTGAAAAGTCTGTACCAAATCCTTTAAAACAAAGAAAAACTTACAAAAGTATTTTGATTACTCTGTATTACACTCAATACCTTAGACACAGTAACTATAGTGTACCAGAATATACCTATCAATTCATTTATGTCTGTCTACGTTACAGAATGATTCAATTAATTTATTTTTTTTTTTAAGTATAAAGAGACACTCTGGCAATACAAAAGAAACTACAGGACAGGGAAGAAGAAAAAGTCTTCCTGAATCTTAGTCTTTCTGCATTCATTTGAGATGTGCTATTAAAATCAGCTGTATGATTGTTTGAAATACATAAAGCTATTCATGTGTATACCAGCAAAGTACCTTACTCCGATGCCTTTCAGAATAACCTCCCTTTTGGGAGGACTGTTGAGTTGAATGTGGTCAAAAATACACATTTCTAAGTGCACAGAAGTCTTCTCATGCAATTTTTTTTACCTCCTGCTTGCATTTAACGACAGGCTGTACCAAACTACACTCCATGTCAGTGAAACTATACACTGACTAAACTGAAATTATTTTACTATACTTACAGCATAGTGAACAGGCAACTTGATTCTTGATAGTTCTTACCTTGTGCCAAAGAACGTAAAGTTGACCTTAAAACACAAACACACCCAAAAGCCCTCAACACCTCTCTCCAGTCTATACCAATAAGCAAAAGATAGTGCCTCATGGGCAGTGATTCTCAGTACTGCTAACAGATGATTTAGAACAGCAAGTTAAGGTGCGGTATCCATTAGCATAGTCATAAGCTAGCATATCTAAGTAGTTTCTACTGCTAAGAATCATAAGTATAAATGATAATGTTCTCCAGGTATCCAGATCTGTATCCCTTATTGTGCTTTTCATCTTCTAACATCACTTAGAAGCATCACAGAAAGAAAACAAATGCAATTTAAGAACAAAGTAGCATTCTCTAAAAACACAGAGCAGGTTTACATCAACTTGGCTGCATCAAGGTTGGTAAAACACAGTGTTGGGTGTTCTCTAGCACTACTACCAGCTTTTCATATTTTTGTACCATACGTTTCAGACTTTCAGATAGATCAGCCCTATAAACTTCAGTGACTTCCTACAGGCTCCTCTTCGACTTTGATACTCCTTCTTCCAAGCGCCATTCGGACACGACCACATCTTCACAAATTATTTTAAGAAGTCACACTAATTTTGCAGATTGGCTTTTCCTTTCTTCACGTCTTTTATAAATAGGCTTTTTTTTTTTTTTTTTTAAAAAAAAAAAAGAGCAAAGTATAAAAAGAGAAAATTTACCCTGTAGCTCTCCAATCATTTCAGATCCATGACTTCTGTCCCTTCGTTCTGATTCCAGTGCTGCTTGCAGCTGGTAGTAATCTTTCTCCACCTGCAGTTTTGCACCTTCTAGGACTCTGCACCTTTCCTGCAGTTCTCTATTTAGTGATTCTACCTGACTTAATGACTTGCTCATTTCTGTGTTACCCTTTCTCAGTCTTGCTGCTGTATCAGATTCTGTCCTTAGCAAGTCATTGGCTTCTTCTAGCTGTTGGGGGGAAAAAAAAAAAGATTCTCAAATATAAAAATGATTTATTGGAACCAGTTTTATTATATCTGAATGCACAATACTGCTTCTCAGACCTAAGAAATAATGAAAGCAATGAACAGAAACAACATACTTGTTTTTGTAATTGTGTTATCTTCTCATTTGTAATTTGTGAATTCTGGTTGATTTTTTTCAAGTCTTCCATTTGATCTTTTAGCGTGGACACTGAAGAGAAATTACATCATTAACACAAGAGATTAAAAAAATCTTTAATTTTTACATAAACACATTCAAAGTCTTGGCACTTAAGTCCTTAGTTGGCTTTTTTCTTATGTACATTTTTAGATCAAATTCTGTGCCTGCAGAATACAGTCTGCACATTGTAGAGAAGACAGAATAAGACAAAGACGTGTTCTTGTTAAAACTCAAATAGAAATTAACTCAAAATTTGTGCTCACAATTTGAAGAGATCCCTTTCAGTAGCACTCAACATGCTAACATGGTAAATTATTCCCAAAAAACACACCATATACCTCATCAGTTACAACATGCCAACATGGCCTACCTTCATTTTCTGCATTCCTCCTCCTCTCATTCTCTTGTTCAATTTTTCTTTGGTAATCATTTATCTTGTGCTGCAGTACCATCTTTTCCTTCTCAATTTGAGACACAGTTGTTTCTAAGTTCTTTCTCTGATTTCCCTAAAATTAAAAGCATCGTCATTTTCTATTTACATTTTAATGAATGATCCCTAAACCAGTATCTCTGCAACTAATTAGCTAAGGACACTGATGCATCATTTCCAGCGAATGAGTTTCTGGCTCCTTTCAAAAAACATTCAGAAAAAATGACTTTTTTCTATTACAAATGTACCAAATTACTGAAGAAGTTTTTGTTAACATGGCATTTAAATAACCATTAAATAGTATTAGGAGATGACATAAGGAACTCAACAGAAAATCACCTGTATGTTAGATTTCAGAAAAACTTATTTTTGATAAACTCCAGAAAAACATTATACTTAATCTTGTTCATTGCAGTTTAACAGAGGAAACAATTTAAATCTGCGAAACATGCAGAGGCAAAAAGGCTTTGAAAATGTGTGCAAATAAAAAGATGCATTTCCCAATGCTATGTATTGAAATGTGATCATTTGGTCTCAAATTTATAGTGAGAACAATTTATTTATTTTTTTGTCACAGGAGAAATATCTTGAATTGTGAAAGTACTATCCACATTCTTTACCCAACTAAGGCAGCTTCAATGATGAAAAATAGTTACCTCTTCATCCAGTTCTTTCATTATCTTGTCTAGCTTTATGTTTGAAGATCTAAAAAGAAAAGAAAACCATTTTAAATACAAGGATGCATTAGCATTTTTCTAGTTAAATAATATGCAACCGCTACCAAAGGGCTCCATTTTGGGTAATTCTATTTTGTAATAAGCATTTAAAAGTCAGAGAAAACATTCAAGTTTCATTGGAAATAGTTTTTAAATATATTAAGTATTTATAAACTTTGTTGCAGCTTATATATGCAAAACTTTAGGTGCCACATTTTGTCCCTAAACCTGAAATATAAAAACAGTGCATGGACACAACAAGCTAACATTAAAATTAGAATATCCTGATGAACTGTTGAAAACGTCCTCTACTTTTGAGCTTCCCAAATAGCTAAAATGGTTAATACAATAGTAGACAGCTCACTACTATGTATAAAAATATCGAAGTATTATTCAAAAGGCTCTGTTGAAGCAATGTATTAGTACAGTATTATAGGCAGGGAAAAGTTAAGCGCATAGTAAAACCTCCAGTTAACTGGCAAAACACATTAATACGATTGTTTTTGCAGCTACTTATCCCTCTTCAAAGAGGTAAGAGGGGCCGCAGACAACATTACCTGGCAGGTACAATAAGCAGTTATAGCAATATATCCTACCTAACTACAGTAAACAGCACGATGTATCAGAGGACAGCGCTGTGCTCTGACATCTTCAGCAGTGCTGCAGGAAGTACTGTGGTTACTGAATGTATTTCAAGAAACATACATCCTGCTTGCAGAAAGCAATCAAAGCACGTGAACAGTGAAGTTGTGCATAGGTCAGGGACAGTGTCTCAGCCTAAAATCCCACTGGATCATCTTGGCTACCAGTTCCTGCCTAAACAGCTCACACAGTTACACACTAGGGTCCTAATTCTAGCCTTAGTTCTTCCCGTGTCCTATAACTAAGTTTTGTCTTTTTTTTTTTCAGGCTGTCAGGAAGACTTCAAAAGGAGAAGCTAACTCAAAGAATTTAGTTGGCATGAATCTGAGTAAAAAATCTGATTATCAGAAAAAAAATGTCTAAAGTTTGTAGCTGCAAGAAACTGGCAAATTCCCACATAGCTACTTTAACATGGCAGAAACAAGCCTTTAGAAAGAAAATCATTGGTTTTATTGATCAGCCACAGGAAGAAGGAAAATAAATGAGGTCCTGTAACAATTACCATATATTTAGAAACCAGAGAGTCAATTTTAATAGTCCAGTATATGCAGTGTATACAGTATTTTACATTTCTCAAAGTTCAGCCTTACAAATGCATACCTCGGCCCATTAAAAAAATCTAAATTCAGAGATACCAGGTAAACTTAAATATGCAAGTGTTCAGAAAAAGCATTACATGGATGGTACTGAAAACAAAGGATTTCCTTAATGCTATATTCAAGAAAACCACTTTAGAACAATATTTGAATGATATAAACCTCTGCCTGGAGCTCCTTTGGAGAAGTATAGCACAATTCTTAATGTTATTCTGGTAATCCCTAAAGCAGTAATACAGAACTCAAGTGTTAGACTTATTTAAATTATATAAACAATTAAAGTTCAAAGTCTCACCTGCACTTTTGCTCCATTTCATCTTTCAACTGCATTTCATTATGTAGTTGTTCTTCCAACTCATAGATCATTTTCTGCATATTTTCCAGCTTTAAATATATATTTGTACATGAAAGAACACGCATTAAATTGATGAACTTCAAAAAAAGTATTCCAGAATATTCAGTGCTACTTATGTTGTATCACAGCCTACTTCTATCTAAGCACTGTATTTTTAGCTGAATCGCCTCCCCTAAAAAGCAAGTTAGTTACAAGAAAGAACTTACTATTACAGTTATATCATTTGCACAGATAAAATGTTAAGGTTGTGCATAGTTCCATCAAAATTCATGGGGCTAGGCTAGGTTTTTAAGTATTTCCAGAATTAGACAAGAGGTATTACTGCAAATTATAAAGAAACATTTTATTAGCCTTAACGGTGCTCTTTTTCTAGCATGAGCTATCAAATACATTTTACAAAGCATCTTCAAGTTCTCAGTTCAGGAAGCAGAATCAGGCGTGTCAGTTATTAGCAATGGGGGAAAATGCTCTTAACCTCTATTTAGTCAGGGATAATTTTTACAGCTAGCATTGTACTAAGGTTTGAAAGGAGTAACAGGCTCCAGATGTTAATACAGAATGGTACTATATGGCATTTACTGTTTGCCAGCAAGATAAATTCACAAGTTCATTCTTTCCGTGCAGTCTCAAAATATCCACCTTCTACTGGATGCCTGTGCACAGTAATTTCACTCCAACAACAGCAAAATCCTCAGTAAACAACAAGATAGTATCGACTTTGAGGAAGCTCATTAAGTCAAGCCCGTGCTGATTCACTCTTCTAAAACTTCTCCACTGATCTGGTAAGGACTGCAGCCTTATTTAGCTTTCTCACATTTCCCTCAGCATCCTTAGAAGAGCACAGAGGAGAATTACAGTCCTAACCTAGATTCTCTTCAAAGCAATATATGCAAGTGGTTCTGACACTTTGTTGTCTTGTTCCTTGTTCTAACTTCAAAAACTCTGACAATTGCCTGACTCATTTTGCACAACCATCCCAGGAAAAGGAGCAACAGAACAGTTCCTCCTATGTCCACCTCTTCCTCTTTTTCCCCCCTAAAGTACATTTACAAGAACTAAAAGTGATCATGAAGAGGAGAAATTGTGCTCGTCTTCATTCTTTCTTGATAGCAACAGTAAGTGGTCTCAAAAAGGACTATCCTGTGTTCAGTCCTAAACAAGAATTTCAGTCTGGAGACGTGTTATAGCACGCTTTATCCATAGTAAGTGGGAAACCTTTCAAACTTCCAAACTTTACTCCTTCCAGTTCCAAGAAGCATCGTGGTGATGCTCTAGAGATCCTTTCTCATTTCTTCCTTTTCCTTTCTTCCATCCTCTTCAGCTGCTCTCAAGTTTGCAGAGGAAGCACACAGACATAGCAACTGGGGACTAACCACAAATTTTATATATTTACTATTCCTTACTCCGAGTATTTAACACTACCTACCCAGAACGCCTTGGAAGAACAAGGAAATACTGGAACAAAGACTTCTCAGCACTTGCATTCATTACTGGTGTAACACACAACACCATTTGGAAGAGACAACGGTTGTAGTCAAAAACCACAGAGAGACTGCTACTAAAGTAAACACCAAGGAAAAAGGAAGGACAGCAAGTACACAACACATTTATCCCATTGGTACAAACCACTGAGAAACAAAGCACGTCTATTTAAAGGCTAGCTCTCACTTTAGCAAAAAGGGATCACATGTGATGCACAAAAATAAGGATCAAGAAGTTTCAACATAATTGCTCTTCCATTTCCTGGTTACTCATTTTACAGCCCCTTCCAGACAGACTGCATAAAGGAATTAAATGGGATGGATGAGGAACAGGTCTAAGAAGACATCTGGCAACTGAAGTGCCCCTGCACTGGATCCTACTGGTTCGGACCTCCATTGCTTCCTCCTGCTTCTTTCTCTCTCTCTCAGTATTTTTATAGTGCTGTACCCCTAGGGGCCTACCTCAGCTTGCTGAGCAGTCAAATGACATTGATGCAAGACCACGGGCTTCCAGAGAAGTTTTGCACAATCGGGTATCAATAACCTAAACAGTATCTTTGGAAAATCCTGAGTCACAGTTAACACAGAATAAAAGCATTCCTGCATGTTTGGGTCTGACTGCAGCGTAGAAGCCAAGCAAAATCCCTCTGAAGCTGCCATACCTTTTTTCTTGCTGTTGTTAAACCACAACATTTTGCATCTGGTTCTGCACCCTGAACAACGAAAAAACCTGAAGACCCAGTTCAGAAGAATTTGTTCACCTCCTCCTCAACATCTGAACTGCTCAGAGGAGTTTAGGGTAGCGCTAGTCAAAGAAAATATCTTCAGAGAGGCCTGATATTCAGTTAAAGGCCATTGAATTCATTTTTTCTCCAACTTCAAGGTCTAGTTCTGTGAAGTTTTACACTCTTGCAAAACCCAATGAATTTCTTTGAAATTTCTGGCGCACAGTCCCACCCAAAAGAGCCTCAGTAACGTGCCAAAAATACAGACAGAGTAGATAACATTGTGTTATATTTCCAGAACTAATTAATTTGCTAACCATGTGTCAACATTACCGTTTTCATTGCAGCATGTAATGAAAGGAAAAACAGCTGAGAAAAACTGGGAGATAAAAATACCCTGTAATAAAAGACTTCACATTCATTTAAACCTATTACCCATATCCTTCCACAGTTTCCCCTCCCCATATTGTTAAAAATCACAAGACATTCAAATACCCCTAGCAACACTGACAGGGCTGTAGGGTTCTTTAACCACGTGCAGGTGCCATGCCAGGTATCCCCCTAATTCTGCCAAGTCTATTTGATAGTTATCTTCAAAGTCAACTAAAGGCCAGCAAGTAGCTTTAAATATTTGCAAATATTTCCAAACCTAGCTCTGTTTTCCATTTTGCCATACCAACAGCCATGTACTGATGAAGAAAACAAAATTTATGGAGGACATCAAGTTACATAAATAAATCAAAATAATTCAGTGCTTAATAAATTCAGTTAGCCCAATAAATACGTAAGTAGTTCCCCTGTCCTTTACAAGTTTTCCTTGGGTAATACCATACACCACTAAAACATTTATATTATGAGTTTAAGAGAAAAAGGAACATGCATCAACATCTGCTTCTCTTCGACTCTAAATGGAAAACATAACAGAACAAGATACTAACAAAGTAAATCAATCAAAGCTAAAGACTTCTTTTAGAGTTCATTATTATTTTGACTGTGTTTTCTACTGGAAGGAAAGCCAATTTGAAAAATGTCAAAGCAGTCTAAGGAAATTATCCTAATTTACACCTGAACTTGCACAGAATCCAAGCACACCTTGTTTCTAACATACTGGCTTTTCTTCCTGGTAACCTGATTGCCAAGATGCTTAGGAAGCAGTAACTGAAAGAGCTTCTGAACTTTCCTGCGAGCTTGTTAGGTAAACTGTTATACAAATGCAGCTTCTCAGTGCCCTGAATCCCAAAAGGTTATGGGGCACCCTTGGGAAGGAGCAGAACACCTAAGGTTATTTTATTTGGAAAAAATAGAAATAAAAAAACCTAATCCCACACTGTCATATTGTCTGCCACCTCCCACTTGGCTCACAGAAAACTGAGAAACCTTAGCTCCAGTGATGAAACAGTGGGCTGCTGGAAAGCCCAGGCTTCCTTCCTATCACACTCATGGCTAGAATTGATCATCACCACAAAGCCAGTGTACACCTGGGATAGATATGGCACTCTGAAAACATTGCACAAACTCTTAGATATTTATGAAGATAAAAACTGTGAATCCTGTTTCACAAGAAGAGTGTGCAGTTTCAGCTATTTTATTCCAATTTGTGAAAACTTATTATTTTAGGAAGAACTGAAATTTGGTCTTTTCAACAACTTTGATAGGCAAACCATACTAAATAGTTTAATTTTATATACTGATCTCCCATATTTCAAACACTAAGACAGTTTGAGACATTTAAAATTCAGAGAATTTATACTGGTATATGCAACAGATTCTTTTCTAGGATACAATAAAACTGAAAACCAGTGAGACATACCACACTTTTATCCACATTGGAGCCTGGTCTGTTGTCATTGGAATTTTCTGCAGAGACGGATAAATACCTGTAACAACATTAAAAGTTATTTTAAGATTTGTTTAAAAGCAAGGTTATGAAAAAAAAAAGAACATAATCATGATAAAAATAACACCCTCAGATTTTTGCTCCAAAGTATGGATAACCAAATAGCAACAACCAGATTTTCCACTGATGTACTTACATTTTACTTACATTTCAAGATTTGAGGATATTTATTTGAAATAAACACAATTAATTGTAAAAATTGTCTTCAAGCATAAAGCGGTAAATTGCAGAAGATGACCTCTTGAAAAAAGGATTTCTGCCAAGTATTAACACAACCACTTTTATTTTTTTTTTTCAAATAACCATTAAAAAAAAATCTTTGCTTTCCATGGTTACAACACTCTCATTGGCTTGCATCCCATAAATATTTATTCAGGCACTTATGAAACAAGTAGAAATGAAGCAAACTCTGCAGAGATTGTGTGTGTGTGTGTATGTAGCTTCCAAAGTTACCAGGAGTTCCACACACAGTTTGTCCTGAAGCGAGAGTTATTTTACATAACTGTTCTCTAAAAATACCACAAATTTCTATTTGTCATGATTCTAAAAGTCATGTAAATAAATAAAAGTGACTGCCTGAGAATTCCTTCAGTATTTGGTGTGATATTCTTGGCCTGATAACTGATCTAGAGAGACATGAAAGGTTCCTAACCCATCAGATTATGTTAGGAAGAAATCTCCAACACACAAGCTGAGGAAGATGGATGCATCCCATCTTTCCTTTCACATGAACAAAAACCTCCCAAAATAAAAGCCAAAGACACCCTGCAAAGCTGAGGTCAAATTAAAAATCTAAACAGCTTACAGACAATCAAGTGACAAAGAGAAAAATGTTACAGTTCCCTACAGAAGAAGGAGTTGGTCTCAAGTACAAGAAGTCACAATATTTTGCACACCAGGGCAACAGAGCAAAGAAAATGTGGTACTGAAGCAGGAAGAGCACCAGAGAAAACAAGAGCAGGAACAAACCTGAATCCTGAAGATTTCTGAACAAATCAGAACCCTGAAGAGAACACAGAAGCCACACAGAGCTGTGAACTGTTCTCAGCTAGTATTCCAAAATCTGTGTTGTAAGTGAAGTGCAATAATAAACCACCATCTTTTCTAGTTTGCAATCAGTGAGATTACAGCTGTAGAAAATATCCTATCCTAAAAGACCATAAGACTTCCTTTAGTGACGGAAGTCATATCATGTTCCTATATCCCCACTGCTTTAAGCTCTACAGCATACTTGAAGCCTGACAAAAATCAAAGGAGATGGAAGACATTTGAACCTTTTCCTAAATACTCAACTGAACATATGAACATATTGCAGCATAAAAAGGGAATCAAAACTAGGACTAGAGATTAAGCAGGTGTAAATGGTCATTTCAGACTTTTTAAGACCGTCACACCAGAGTATTATGGGATCAAAATCAGTTCTAGAACAGCATTTTCACATTTTCGTTTCAGTAAATGTACAAAGTAATTATAGTATTTAGTGGACATCTTCCACAACAGCTAAATACAGTCTAAGTTCTCTAAATTCCTGATACTGTCCCCACCCCAAGAATTAAAAGGGGAGAGAAGAATTTCTGTTATTAACAAGCTTCAGTATGCTACTTGACCTTCTTGATAACACATTCCAAAGTCTACCTGAAATGCAAAAGTTAAGACTTTTTATTATAGACTAAAATCAGAACAATAAGTAAGCCTCTTGGACTGAACTCACACGAACTGTCTGCAAAGCTTGCAAGTTCCTTTATTCCTCACTATGCAGAAAGCAACAACAAATCCAACTCTTTGCAGAGATGGAAATAATTTCACCACAGGCTTGGAAAAGCGGTTCCTCTTCTATCCAATGATGGATAACAGATTTATTTCCTTTAAGGCTTCCCTATTTTCTGAAATATTTCTGAATATTTTCTAAAGTATTTCCTGAAATACTATTAAAACTAACAACTACGGGTCTCTATCTCTCTATCTGACATGGTCACATACAGAAGACTTAGATCATTTTAAGCATAACTGACATAGACAACAATTAAAAGTATCTCTAAGAAAAAGTTAAAGATTTTTGAATGTAGATAGAGATATCAACAGCACCTACAGTAATAATGACTCTTAAAGTATGAATCAATGTAATTTCAACTGATGTCATTTAAAGTTTCCTAAGCAACAGTGAAAACAGTAAAGCATCACAATCTCACTGCAGCTGATGAGTACTTTGAAAAAAAAGAAGAATCTATCACAGGTGACAGGCAAGTAGAAAATAGAGTATTTCTAGTAAGCCATAGAGAAGCTAAGACAAGGTTTAATTTATCACATGCCTACAGTGATATGAAGTGTGGAATCCTTGTATAAAATTCCCAAACTGTGATTTGCAATGCGATAAAGTGACATTCACATCCCCAGTTTACGACTATATGGGTATTTCAGTGCTCTGCAGGCAGCTCTGCCTAGAAATCACAACAGATTTTTCTTACTATTTCTGCCACACCACTGTGTAACATACTTAATACAGAGCAAAACATTCACAAAATCAGTGCAATATTTTAAGGTACTGATGACTAGTAGTACTGGCTATCAAAGTGTCAAGAAAGGGTAATTTATTAGGATTCTGACTCATAAGTAAGAATCTGTATAGGCGTGTATTTACATAAGAGTCAAACAGGAGTCTTGACAAGAGAATATACCATCAGTTTGCTTTGTCTGTACATACCGACGGTTGCTGTAGTAAGTAAATCCTACAAATGGAAGTTGGTTGCCCACAAATGCTTTTGGTATCGGAAATGTTTCTTCTTCTCCTTTGTCTTCTTCCAGATCATCAAAATTACTAGTGTCTATGTCACTACTTAAGTCAGGCACAACTGGTGCTACAGCTAGAAAAAAAAAAGGAGAATAATTATATGCTAGTAATTATTTTATAAATCCAGTGACACAAGTAAGAGGTTTTTGGGTACTTCTCTTTTGCATCTAACAAATTTCATTCTATCCTGCAGTGTAACTAAGATTTTAAATTTCATTAAAAAATTCTTTTGCTAACATGATACGTAAAGTAAGGCAGATCACTGCCTCTGAGAAAAGCATTATACTTACTGTCTCTGAGAGTTTCCCAAGCCCACTGATCATTTTTGAAGAAAAGGTGCCGTTTAATTTCTTCTACTCCATTGCGTCCTAGTCTCACTTCCCTGTAAAGAGTTTTTTGGTTTCAGTATAGTATGTAAGATGACATAAATCATTCCAAAGGAAAGATAAATCATAAGGAGTATCTAACAACAAAGAGGAAAAAAAACCTCTCAAACTAAGGCATGAAATTTATAAACCTCAAAGCTCTCAGATGACAATAACTACAGCAGCACAGCAGGTATATTTCAGAACAGTCTGGTTTTAACACTTGCCTGTAGGAACTCCTGCTGCTACTCTTTCCACCATCATGGACTGGCTAGGCAGCTGTCAAGCAGAAGCTAGATTCTATGCTTACTAGGAGATCATGCTGTTGCTTGAAGCCGACGAAGCTCAGCAAATGCAACAACCCCCCTCCACCTTCATAGCCTCAGATCTCAAGCAAAGGTTGCAAAAGTTATGTTTAGATTAGTAAGCAGCGTCGGTACAACTAGAGCGCACCCCCACAGTGAAACAAACCTAACACTCACATTTCATAGAGGCTTTCTTTGGGTTGACTCTACCCTGATCCTGCGGACTGAATGCCCACTAGGAGCTGGGATTGCATTAGGGGCACTCCTGAAATGCACAGTTCGCTTTAGTTTTATCCCCAAGGAATCCATGCCCCTCACACTCTGCAACATAGACCAGTGTAACAATAGCTGATACTTAGGAGTAACGCTTCACATTCAAACTAAATTTATAAGCACTCATCCTAGCACCATCTCCCTTCCCCCAATATACATGATACTACCACAGGGAACAGCAGCAAACCCTTGACTCCTCTCCCAAGATCTGGCACTGTACAAAATTAACCTGACAATACCACCTGTTCGGTCTGCAGTATCTACTGCTTCGGGTAAAACAAAGCACTGATTCAGGGTAGACAATGTGACTTAAAGCCCTAAGCAACCGAAATTCTAAAGAATTACTGACTAAATTTAAGACAGCCTTGCCATACTTTAAGCAAGAGGCTAACGCTTTCTCATATTTTTGTAGCTGATAGACAAACAAAACCTAACTCCTATAAAGGAGAACATTCAGCTAACAGAAGTGCATTCAGAGCACATACACTTACCTACAGCAGCACCTAAACAGGAACAGAGTTATGCTGCATTCATGCCAATACTATCAAAGTTCCACTTCTTTTCAGCAGTTTAGAAACCCCCACAAAATAAATATAGATACACACGTACACATACAGACATGTTATTTCAACATGAGAAATTTTCTTAATGAAGATTCACTTTCATTCTGAATAAGGTTGAAATCTCACCTATCAGTTAAAAAGGCACAAATAAGGTTTTTCGCCTCTTTAGAGATATCGTTGTCATCAGGGAAGGTAAGGGAGTTCTTATGGTTCATAATCTTGCTGTATGTTCCAACCAAAGAATCTGCATAAAAAGGTGTATCACCTGAAAAAGCAGCAATGCAAAAAATTAAAAAGTAGATCAGAAGTATTGTAGATTTGATTTATAACATTTGAATTATGCACGCAACAAAATGTAAGCAAATAACTGAACGAGGGGTAAGGACAAATGTTTGAGAACTGTAGTAGAATATTTTTAAGGCATTTTTCAAATACCACAGTGAGCAAACCAAAAGTTATGTTAAAAAAGTAATAAATTAAAACAGTTACAAACAACACTGATTTTTTTTTTTATAGAGTGCAGTTAAGTATTGCAGTCAATTTTGATTAACCTACGACTCACCTACGAGCATCTCATACAGGAAGACTCCAACTGACCACCAGTCACACTCTCTTCCATAGTAACCATCACCACCCTGGGACTTCAATACTTCAGGAGAGATGTAGTCTGGTGTTCCTACAGCTGTATCACATCGTACCATACCCTCCTACAAAGAGAAGGAAAATAGCCAGGCCCAAATATAAGAACCAAAATTGCAAGCTATTTTCAAGAGTTCATAAAGCCTTAGTAACAGCAGCAAATCAACAACTTTCATGAACAGATTGGTGGTGTGTTGTTTTTTTTTTGTTGTTGTTGTTTTTGAACAGGTACTTAAACATTTTTAATTATTAAACTACTAAAGCCAAAGCAAAGCACTGGATTTGTCAAAGTTAACACAGTGCAAGTTACTTAAAAACCTCTGTTAATATCCAAGAAGTAACCAGAATTGCATCTCAGCCTTGTAATCACAGCTTCTCCTGCTCATGCCAATATAAATGTCTTATATACTGCCAGGATATAGAGTAAACAAGGAAAACTCCTCTCAAAATAGGTCAGCAAATCAAGGATTTTGCTGACAGGATCAGCTAAACTAAGTTTTTCTCCAACACAATATACTTAATGCCAGGAAGACTGCAATGCAGATAAGGCCCTGAAACTTGAAGCAGATAGACTTCAAAATGTGTGACAGATGAGAAGAACGTTTCATGTTCCTCACACCCCTGAGAAAGAACTAGCAGAGGAGATCAATCACATTGGGGATGGCATCGAGAATGCCAAAGTGGCAATCACTTGATCCTTTCCAGTGTTCAAGGAACTTCTGGAATAATCCTAGTAATGGATTAGTAGAAAACTTGTACAATATATAACTAAGGAACAAATACAGCTAATGAACAAATCCAGAGTTGCATGTGCAGCAAATCCAGAATGTACCTGTATTAAACTTCTATCTATGATGAGCAGTTTCTTTCCCACAGAGCCACTTTCCTCTTCCAAAAGGCTAGAGGAACCCAAGACTAGGCTCTTCAATACACAGCTCATTTATTTAGTACAGCACACAATGTAAGGTGTTGTTGACATGAGTTTACTTCTGTGACACCAATACACAGCAAATTTTCCTAATATTTTTACTTTCTTTTTGGCACTTATAGAAAAATATCCTTGTGCTTAAGCACAAGCTGTATTTCAAAAGTCCTAATTTTTAAGAGCAAAATCAAAGATGAATCTGTATTAAGCCAAATTATGTGTCAGCTATTCCGCTGTGGACTGGAAGTTGTGACTTAAGGAAACTATTTGAATTTGTACATGTAACTTGCACTTGGTTTTCACTGGTGCCTTTTATTTATGGCAAGGCAGCTGATTTATTCCAAAAGCAATTTTTTCAAAGCTCCTGGAATAGGTTGAGAACGTGATGTATATATTACCCAGACTCTGTTGAAGTGTCACCCATTTCAGGTTGCTTTCCTGGTATGAGGCTAGCACAAACCAATCAGAATTTTGTGTAGGGAACAACAATGCTTCACAGTACTTAAAATACAATTTCTTTTTTTTTCAATGACCTCAAGATATATTAAAAAAAAAAATCTGTGACAGTTTTTTAACCTTTTTCCTTCAGATTTGGCTTTTAGATAGGTCAGGTTATGCTAGTACATATATAAGGATTCAGCAACTTGGACATGTTTTCCATCACTGAACTTAACTATCTCACTTTTTTCCATCAACTTTGATAGTCAAAGACTTAAAGAAATAATCTAGAGTAATCTATAAGATAATCAATGTCTTGACTTCAGGAAGCCTTCCTGATAAACAGTATAGAAGTTGATGCAATCCCTACTTCAAGAGTCATTTTTGCATTCTATATTGTCATTTAATAGGATGCTTAAATAATAGTAATGGCAAGAGTGGAATCTTGGACACTTTTCTCTAGCTAAGTTTTTCAGTATTAATTTCACTTTCACATATGCCTTCCTTTCACAAATGGAAAAAATAAAAATAAAAATTGTCTACCTTGTTCATCTTCATACAAGTACCAAAATCTGCTAGTTTTAAGTGACCAGCTTTATCTAGCAGCATATTATCAGGTTTCACATCTCTGAAAACAGAAAAACATTTGTGTAAGAGTAAATCAGTCAGTTTAACTTAGGAAAACAAGTCATCTGTTTCTCAAATGTAACATGACAAGGAAAATACAACATAAAAGCACAACTATTTCCTCATTTTTTTCCTTCTTATAGTATCATGTCCCACATACAGACTGTGGAACTGAAGCATTAAAAAACATGATAATGGATGTGGGAACAGTCTCAAGTCACCAAATTTACCAAATCTGGACGTTACCCTCAAACCTCAAGTTTTCATAAAAAACCACTAACTTGCTGAAGTCACTCTCTACGAGGATACAGCTACACAAAAGAAATCCATTCTGGTTGCAAGTTAACCACCTCAATCCAGCCTTGAAAATATAACTCCTTTTTTTTTGTATCACTTCTAATTTCAGGAAATAAATTTTATGAAGTATATTCACATGAGCAAATAATTTTCCGTGGCCCAAAAGAAGTGTTACTGTACTGCCTTTTCCACATTAGGGATTCTCTTACAGAAAGTTTTCATGAAGTAACTGTAAAGTTCAGCAATGTTAATGGTACTAAGTATACTATAGCAGAACCATAGTTTAAAAAAAATAATAAAAATATATGTATCAAAAAAATAATGGTTTCAGGTGAAAGTAATTTCTGGGACCTCAAATGGAAAACTCCGGTCCCTACAATGAAATGAAGTCCTAGCATTACCTCACCTCAGGGTGTGCAGTAGAAACGTATCAGTGTACACACAATGATTTGGTTGGGAATCTTTTATTTATTTTTTTGAAATACTCTTAGTCCAACTGCCTGATCAAAGTGCAGCTAAGGAAATCAGTTCAAACTTCAAAGTTGCATTCGGGTTCCTCAGGGTCAAATTCACTCAAGTTTTGAATTTTTTCCAAGGATGGGGATTTCATAACCTCTCTACAACTCTCTTCCATTGTTTGACCACCCTCACAGTGAAAATTTATTTCCTAACAAATAACTGGATATTCACAGAACAAACATCTGCCCGTCATCTGCTCCAACCCTCCTGCTTAAGCAGGGATACTTAAAGCAGGTTGTTTAGGCAGCTTTTGAAGATTCACAAGGAGGGAGACTCCACAATCTTTCTGGGTAACCTGTGCCAGTGCTCAGTTAACCACTGCTGCAATTAGTGTCATCCACTGACTCTCATTCTTTCACTGCAGGCATCTTTCCATTCCAGCTACATTGGAAACCTTGCTGAAGTTGAGGCAAACAACATACACACCGCTTTCCCCTCATCACAGAAGGCAATCAGGCTGGGCAGGTACACTTTACCCTTAAGTAAATCCATGCAGGCTGCTCCCAATCACCTTCCTGTCCAAGTGCTTGAAAACTGTTTCCTGAGAATTTACTCCATAATCAGCCTGCAGTCCCCCTCTCAGGGCCATCTCTTTCCTTCCAGCCAACAGAAACCTCCTGATTGCTGCAGCCTTTCACTAGTCATAGAGAACAGTATCTCCTGATATTGGCTACCTTCCTCATAACAATCCATGTATCCCACCAGCCTTGGACTCACATATGCCCCGTTTGCATACAGGGGACTCAGTTTGACCTTTCTCTGCTAAAGTAATGAATGCTTTACCCTACAAAGCCCTGCCACTAGGCACAGGTACCTGGGAGACCTGAAAGCAGACCTTATAAAGAAAGGCTGAATCAAAAGCAGCAGCCTCAGGCCCTTCCACGTCCTCTGTCATGAGCCCATATTTGCATCAGCTTCTTTTCAGTCCTCAAATTTGAGTAAACTAGTTAAAAACAAATTCCAAAAAAATCTGCTGTCAGAGTAATCTGGAGTTTGAGGAAAAGATTGACAGTGCTGTTGGCATCTTCAAATTTCTGTTTTCTAAAGCTTGCCAATACACCTGTGCAAATGGTTCAGCCAGACAATTTATTCCAATTACAATGTGGCACAGTAGCTACGTAATTTATGATGCTATAGATTCTACTCGAGCAATGGATTAATAGCTTTTTGTTGTTGTTGTTTTGCTCTTTTTTTTCTAAAAAAACCTTAAGTGTTAAAAGTGATCTTCTGGCCAAACTACAAATTGAGGGTATATACACTAAGTCCTTCTCAAGCTGTTTGTATACTTTCAGTTGAAAAATTTCTTCTCCTGCTTCTAGTAAATATGGTTAAAAGCTAAACACAGAAGTTCAAATATCAACAGAAGAGAACACTCAGTCTGTCTGACAAGGGACTACAATCCACTTGAGGGCAAGTACGTAATATGAAACAAACCTAAGTCCCTTTGCTCTATTTCCCATCTTGCCCCTTACAAGAATACAGGTGTCTGGGAGATTTTCCTCACCCTGTTCAGTTCACCCTGATCAGGCCACTGGTGCCAGCTGAGGCTTTAAATGCAGAACTGAGAGTTAATAATTACCAGTAGTGTATACTACTGCTATCAAATTCTCCAAACAGTTTTTTCTAGTTAAGAAAAATGAACTAATTTGGGGGCCAACTTGTTCATGCCAAATCAGTTCTACATCTTTTGATAAAGTGGTACAATTTTATTGTTCCCTAAACTGAAGAAGATCATCCTGCTGAAAACCTTTACTTTGACTGTGTCACCTCAGCTTTGCACCTTCTGATAACAAGAAGTTTTGAAGTTGTAATATGAAATAATTGTGAAATAATAATGAAGTCATACCAGCAATTTTAAAACAGCCTTAACCAATTAAAGTCATTCCGACAGCCCTGGGATTAAAACAACACTGTAACAATACTTTTTTTCTTTTTCACCTGTGTATAAAACCCATTGAGTGAATTGCATCTAATGCAAGAACAACTTCAGCAGTATAAAATCTTGCCCATTTCTCAGGAACGTCGTAGTTGCTCATTAAATTCACAAGGTCCCCACCAGGCATGTACTCCATGACCATGTAAAGGTAACGGTCGTCTTGGAATGCATAAAATAACTGTAAAAAGAACATAAACAAAAGAAAGAACAAGTCACTGAGTGCTACAGTTGTCTAATCTTTTGCTTGTTGAAAGTCCACAATTTTGGTGCAAATTGATTTACAAAGTAAAAGAATTGCTACAACTACTGCAGCAGCTTTGCGTCACCCAGTAGACCTCCTAAAAAGGAATTAATCTCAAGTCAGTTTCTGCCAGATCTTCCATCTCTTTATATTACTACAGAAGCAGCAAAGCTCTGGTTACAGATTTTGGTATTTATTGCACCAAATTGTAATCATTTCAAAGAAAGCTCATTGCATAAGAGGACGAGATGCTTCCTTACTCCCTGGGACACCAATTGACAAATATGTAAACATGGAACTATTGTATTTCAAACATCTGCCTGATTCTATTTGTGTTACCACAAAATATTTATTATTCTACGGTCAATGTATTCATTGTTTAGAAAGTGAACCTATACTTTAAACAATTGAGAAAAGTATTTCCCTTACAGCAGTAAATGCTCTGTTCAATGTGACTTTCGCAAGTAGGTTTAAGCATGGTAACTTAAACCTTTCTGAAAATCATAAAACATAATTTTGCACAATCACTCCCAGACAGATAGCAACATATAAACATATTTGACTTAGGTAACTCTTGAATGATTTTTAGGTAATACTTGAATGACTTTAATTCTAACTTAACAGAAGTATTTACATGTTTAAGGGTAAGAACAGTTTAAATGAACAAGTTAAATGTGCACACAAATGTATGATGAAAGCTTCAGGCATTGTCCATATAAACTTCAAAGGCAGAGATGCCTCCCAAAAAATTGTCAGTGATAAAATTGAAATGAGGAAAACATAACCAGAGTTTACGTAATATATAAATTTATAATTTATACATTTATAAATAAATATATAATTTGTAAATATATAATTTAAAAATAAACATATAATATATATAATATATATGATTTGCAGTCATACATACACACAAATTGGAATATACAGAAGCTACATCTTAAGCACAGATTTCTGATATGTTGGCTACTTCCAGAAGTACTATAAAGCAGACTCACCAGTTTTAACTTATATCTGGCAAACCGTTTTAATAACAAACAAAATAGCTTATCCTGTATTTAAGACAAAGTACGGTTTTGAAGGAAGCACAGTATCAGCTGTTTGTTGCAAACAGCAATTCCTACTGTTAGTAATGTATTGCCCTGACAGATCCAGATCAATGTAACCAAAATGGGAGTTAGAAAAACTAAGACACGTGAATATAAGTCATGCAGTATTGTAATGGAACTATTCTACCAGGACAATATTTTTAAAAGGAATCTCACTGTACCTGAACAACCCAGGGACTGTTAGCAAAAGCCATAATATCCCTTTCTTCCCAGAAGAAAGCAGAATCTGATCTTTTTATCATCTCAAATTTGCTTAGAAGTTTCATGGCATACACTCTTCTTGATGACTTATGCCTTACCTATGAAGACGATCACGACATAAAACAACACGTTAGTTTCCCACCTTAATATATGAAGAACATCACTAAACTTCTTTTTCCTGCTTCACTATTTAATAGGTTTCAAAAGATTCTTCACATTTATAAAGAATTACATATTGCGGGTCTACAAAATAATTATATTGCATTTTCTGACAATATATGCATTATTCTTAAAATACTTGCTAGAACTATCCAGAGTCCGTAGGCATAATAGTCACTTCATGACTTGTAGGTGCATATCTCAAAAAGCACAAATAATGGCACCTATTAAATGCACAAGCATTTTTCAGAGATCATTAGCATACACAAATACTTGCTGCCTATTTCTAGTTTCTCCCACCAATTCTCAGTTTAATAAAGCAGCATGAACAAGTCCATTAATCGTAAACATCATACACATCTCCTCTCATCTTGTGAAAGATGTCCACAAGACTACTATATTCCTTGAACTAGCAGAAATTCTTCTAGTCTTGAAGAATTGTTCAAGTGTACATACACAGTGGCAAAGGCTAATTTTGTTGATTACGATTGATATAGATTCCACTTTACCAGGAGAAGCATGCCTTACAAAGAAAAATAAATGTGGATTGACAGTACTGAAATGCAAGCTTCTCAGAAACATTTCCACGGGATAAAAAGAAATAAAATTTCATTGAGCTTAAGGCTATAAAACCCTAAGACTTCATCTTCTGAACACTGTATTCAGAAATAGACACAAACAAATATGACAGGCACAGATCCAAACGTACAGAAACACAACTTACCAACTGAACCTCCCCAAATGCCCCTCTACCAATCACCTTCACCACTTCATAATCTTCAGCTTTCATGCGCAGATCTCTCATTTTATTTACTGTGTCTTTATCTGTATGAAAGAAAAATCACATTTCATATATAATCAATTTAATTAAACCCATTCATCTCATTTTTATTTATAATAATTATTGCAAGATATATTCCTCTTTAAGGGGACTTCATTTTTAACCTACCTCCCTACTGGAAACCACGCTGCAGACTGCATGACCTCATTCTCATTACCACAGTAATCAAAACTTGATATAAAAATAATGCAGTAATTACTGTACAATCAAGCTACTGGAGATCTTAATTTGGGAAATTTCTTTTAAAATAGTTATCTGGAAAAAAAAAGAGCTAAGCAAAAACTTCATACCCAGCATGATCTTGCTAGCAAGCAAATCTGTTTAAACAGATTATTTCTGGATAACTGTGTAATACATCTGAGAAAATATCATAAAGTATACATGAGAGATACTTGAAGAAGCTATTTTTTTTAAATAAGCTTTCCGTATTCTGCAATTTTATTATTCCTATTGCTCAAAAAAGTAGATTTTAATTTAAAACATGCAGTGGGAATCACTGTAATTATTTATATAAACCTGTCATTCTATAAACTACAATAATTTACAAACTCCCAGTGGGCAGATATTCTAATTCCAAATTTGGTCAAAGATTAAAACAGTCTATTTTAATCCATGTGGGTCAACACTGGCATGAGATTACATGGAAAAGCTTCACATTTCAGTATTTCTAAAAAGAAGGAGCAGCTACTAAAACGGACACACTCCTAATAAAATACATTATACAACAGTATTCTATTTTCAAAAATAATACGCTTTTCTAAAACTTTAGAAAAAAGTACAGACAGGGGAAGAGAAAGAAGGAAAAATGTCATTTTTGGAGTTCGTGTTTTAAAAACAGATTTGGCAGACAACAGAAGACTACCCTTAGGTTTCAATATACAGAGGTCATTATCTAAAACAAATGCAACATACATACAATTAAGATCCGTTATGATTTTATAATGTTAAAGAACTAAATATAGTTTTGATTGAATAAATAATCTCTTGAATTACTAATGTGAAGCCATCCCTTTACAATGCAGCATGCCTACAGTATTTCAATAAATGATGTTAAATCTGTAAAACCTGACAAATTATTTCACATAAGGATCAAAATATTCAGTAATTTGAAAAAAAAAAATTTTTTAAATTGTCCTATTTGCCCATTGCAAGGTGAAAAGCTGACCTATAGCAGAGGATGGGTAGGACTGCACAGAACTGATATGCAGCAATTCTCATGACAGCTTTCCAATTATTCTCAACTTACTGCCTAATAATCTCCTACCAGCAAGTCTACCAATTCTGAATGAAAAATCTTTACAAAACACAAGCTAGGCACAATATAAATGCATTAGTGTTTTCAATGACAAACCTCAACTATGGCCAAAACAGAATAAAGGAAAATCCACTAAGAGCACTTTAAGCTAAATATTTTTAAGTAGCGTAAATCAGCCTTGTGAGCAGTTGCAAAATTGCAATTTACTGTTTGAGAGATGTACTAATGCCCAGTATCTTCAGACAACACATTATACTAACAACAGTGTTGGAAATTTTATCTTAATATTCAAAGATCTGTCAAAGAAGGTTTATCAGGCTGCAACATATTTGAATAGGCAGCTCCAGATGTCCTGCTAACAGGGGAGGGCACAACCAGCTTACGCTTTATGAGCAGGTGGGGTGGCTCCCATGGCAAAAACCAGCAACTCCAACTTGGCCTGACGTTTGATGATAAAGCTTATACATTGACTATTCAAGATGGGCACTTGGTTTATTTCTGGACAATCTCTTTATTCTTTAAATCATTTATGGTAGAAAATTAATGAGGTCCCGTGTCTGTGCAAATAACCCTCACAACCTTAGGCAACAGAGGCAGATTTTGAAGACAAAACCTCCACAAACATACAACATAAACCCAGATAAATATAGGAGGGGATAAGGACAGGCTCATAGGACAATCATCAGTCTGTAAAATAAAGTAAGCAAATTCTGATTTGCACTGTGAAAATTCATTTTAAAGTTCTAGAAAAATAGTGCAAACTGTTTGGCCAGCTAATACTGCAAAAAGATTTTTAAATGATTTTCTACTGAAACTGAAGTTAACATGAAAATGTTCCTGTACATCTTAGGGTATGTACATAAAGCCTTTTTTACTGTTATTAGATCAGCAGTTTGAGACAAACTAAATTTCACAGTCACTACTAAGGTCACTACTTATACCCACACTTTGTTTTTATATTCCAGTAAAGACAGCAAGATTACAGTTCTAAAAGCAGTCTGAAGTGAAATAATGAGGTCTGTTCTCCACCTTCACACTGCTTCAGGTTACATTTTTACACAGGGTATAATTTCCACCTACAATATACTCATTATTAGACTGTAAATAAGAGTTTCCCTTTCCTTCACTCATCCCCAGATGCAAAAGTGAAAAGCTTCTGAAACTGATGACTTCACTATACATAAGAACTGCATTTAAAATATCTGCTGAAATAAGTATTTCCTTTGCCTAATCCAACTTCTCCTTTCTCCAGTTTCACCACACCTTCTCTGCAAATAACTAAGTATACAAAATGTGCGTGTAACAATGTGTACAGTTTCAAACATAGCTTGAACTGTGAAAAGTTAAACATTTGACCTTAGGTATTCCAGCAACCAGCTTACATGCAAGCAAGCCATAAACCAGATCTACTGGACTCGTAAATTACTAGAAATAGGGAATAAAGGAAAATAAAATCCACAAATTCACTATCGTGGCTTACACATGGACTGAGTAAACTATGTAAATATGCCTTGGAAAGAGAAACAAAAATTTCAATGAAGCAAAGAGAAAAATTAGATTATTTTAATAAAATTACTTCATATTTGCCACATTTATTACTTTTAATTACAATGTTTAAGCTTGTAAAAATCTAATAAAAGTTAATTTAATTTCAAGAATTGCCATTCAATCCACAGGCAAGTCTGGAACCAGCAAACGAATCTGCCATTATTTCCAGAAATTGACAGTAGTCTGTAAAAAAAACTTTAAAGCGTTTTTCTTTGCTTCATTTTTGTTTTATGAATATGAAAGTTATGGAAATATGGCTTCTATTATAAGAATCAACTTTATTCATTACAAATATCCTTACAGACGAGAATCTGCAGGAAAACTTGTAGTGGAAAAATACAGGAGTAAAATGATAAAAATAACATGATTTACTTCCTAATTTTAAAATTAGTTATGTCTGAAGAGTAAAACTAACAGTATGCGATTTTTGAATTCTTTCACAAAAAAAAAAAACAGGAATCAGAACTAATAAGAAAGTGAAATAGCACAGTGGTTATTGTCCAGTTGCAAAAATCAGATAACAGAAGACCTGCTGACACTATGGTTTACCACTTTAAGTATTCTTTTTGCTGTCTACACAATAAAACCCAAAAGATGGTTTTGCACCTGTTGATTTTTTTTTTTTCAGATCATGAAAAATACCATGGTGACTTAACATAACTTTATGTATGTTTAAAAAGGGGGAAAAAAGAATAATTCTACAGACACATCAGTGGCATGCACAAGTAAATATAAGCAGCTATGCAGTATTCTCATGCGATAATGAAAACAGAACTTTTATACTAAAAATGCCACAAAACACACATTCCAATCTGTCAGTGAACATTTCAAAATGACTTCTTGACACTGCAGATATGTTACAGCATTTTACTGTTAACCGAACTGCTGTGCCACTGAAAGCAACCCCAGCTGCTGGGGAGCGGATTTCTATAAGTAACTGTGAGTACTGACTGGGAAATAAATACAACTCCTAAAGCAATTTACATCCAAAAACTTAATGCACGCAAACTCTCTAACAGCCTTTCAAAAAGCGAGAACCTCTTTTATTTTAGTTGGTATTTATAGTCTGTTAGTTAGAAACCAAAACATTAAATACTTACACCTGTTTAAGAAGTTATCAATGTTCTTGTTTTTTCTTAAGGCAGGAAAATCCAAGTCATATACCAAAGCATCTAATCCATCCTAGAAGAGGGGAGGAAGAAGGCAAAGTTAAGTGTTTGGAAAAACAATTAATAATTAATAATTAAAAACAATTAGAAAGAAAGTAAGTTTCTACCAGTCAATGAGAAGATAAAAATGGTTGTCCCCATCAATTTTCCAAACAAATGAAATCATTCATATTTAAAGATTCAATTAGGAGTTACATATCTCTAAAGGACAGATGAAGCAGCTATCACTCTTCTTCCACTGAGCTCTTCAAAACTTAATCTTCATCTCTCTCAAAACAAATATACTTCTGTGAATTATAATTAACCTTAGAAGCCCCACATTTACATGTGAAGCAGTATTTTTTCCAAATAGGAAAACCACAAATAGCAGTTCTAATGAAGGTCATCAATGTTAAGAAGTCTCTACATATCACACAAGAGGCACCTGAATGTTAGGTGGCAACCGGCAAAAAGGACAATTATGTTAATTCCAGGAGTCAATTCCCTTCCCCCCCCCCCGGCTTTTTTTTTTTTTTAATAATAGCAATTACGATAACAGAGTTATAAACCAAAAACTTAATGCTGCATACACATGTGAATTCACTGATTTTTCACTGAATACAACCCTATGACCAAAAAAAAAAAAACAACCAAACAACAAACATGTCCATGCTATCTATTACTGACCCACTGGGAGTGAGGTATTAGACCAGACATCCTTGATCTGATCAGGTCAGATCTGAGTAGATCTAGGTTTGACTGTTTTATAAAACACAGTTTTATTAAATCATGTAACACGGGCTTGAAAGCTGATCAGTCCTAACTACTACTTCACTTGAGAGACTATGCCTGAAGTAAAATCAAGCTAGAATTTGAAACCAAGAGCAAAGAATTAAGAGTACAACAATAATCACAACTGCTTTAAAGGCTCGATGTTATTCTATTTGTTAATTTCATTAAAATATTCCTCTGTTAAGTCAGCTCTCCATACAGTGCCTTAGCTTGAACCCTTAGAAATGTCACAAGGAAAATGACAAAGAGAAGCATCGCAATATTTTCACAGCACTTCAAGTCTGCTTCTGCATCCTGAGCGTATTAAAGGATCATCATTTTGAACTTACACCGATGACAAAAAAGGAAAGCAAACGACAACGGAAAAAACATAATGGACTAACTACTTAATGCGTCCGCAATATAAACAAGAGTAAGAGGCCAACAACAACTTGGACTCAAGACAGATGTGGAAATAAAGCTATGCTGGGTAAACGCAACTTGGCGAAAAATCCTTTTAACCTACTAAAGGATGCCTTTTCCAAAGATACACAGTAAACGTCCAGAAAATCCACTCAAGCATCTCCCTTCTTTGGTAACTTCATCGGAGGAACCACGGCTGCAGGACAAAGGCCACCACGCTGAGAGGAGCATGGGACATCCACAAGGCCGCTGGGCCACCTCCTGCCACTTTGGAGCACAAACAAGTGCTGGGGATGGACTGCCCCAATCGGGGGGCATTTTGCCTGTAAACCTGCAGATCTGGGGCCTCGATCCATTTGCCTGGGGTCACAGCTGACACAAAACTCTTCCACACAGCAAGCAGAAGCAAAACAATTCTCACAATCCTGATGTGCTCTGGGGCAGTACAGCTGCTTGCTTCGCTTCAAGGTTTGTTCCAGAAGCTGACATCTAGTCTTGTTTTTTTCCCCTTCAGGAAAGGGAAAATTTAAAAAACAGAATGCAACAAGCTAGGGCTAATGGGAATATTTACACATCTTTAACATCAATATTAATTTCTATCATAACTTCTCTAAATGTTAAGTCTACAAAGAAAAAAAAAATCAGTGCAGCCAGTGCCACAGTTTCATTGTCAGGCTTGTTGCTGTTGTGTCTTTTAAAAAAGCCCTACAATAAAGATGCACACAAATTCACTTGTAACAGGCAAAAGCAACTTTTCAGTACCGTTTAATTTAGAATTAACCATGGAAATATTCCCCTTTGTGTCTTAGATGTGAACTTTTTCAAGTAAAACACTTAAAAATAAACTTTGAAATACAAATTCCAACTATTTAATGATCTCACACGCATTTCAAATCACACTTCAAAAATCACACAAACACCATCTCAGGGAGCAGCAGGCCAGGAATTTCTTACTCAAAACAGTCTCTTCAACAGCAAGCTCCCCTCTGCTACAATACCCAGAGAAGAAACTGTTCTGGTTCAAATCTTTCTTAAAAAATAAAGGGGGTGGAGGGAGAGCTACAATATTTAGATTTGTAAATCCTTAACTCTCAAACTTCGCTCCCAAACTTGAACTGAAGGAATTCATCTGCTCTTGAAAGGAGGCACAACCATTACTGTTCATGGCTGCAGAGAGAACTCATCTCTCAGCTTTCTTGTTTCCATCTCGTTCAATCTTTCAGCATGCCATCTGACTTCTTTCCTGATACCGACAGGAAGGGCTAGCTTTCCCTCAAGACCTACAGTAGCTATATCCTCCTACCTTTTAAAGTAAAAAGAACTTACAGGACAGTATACCAAGACATCATAACTGGTAGCCATACATCCAATAATTTAACAAGCTTTATTTAAATCATTAACATATTTTTATGACATTGAAAACACTCAAATGGGAAAAAAAATCTGTTTTAATATGTACCTTCTTGAAATACAGCACACCAGCTTTTCTTAGAAACACATCCTGTAGCTTAGAGGTATTTTCAGCTTACTTTAAGCCCTACTTTATTCAGTCATTACAAAGCAATTTTCCTATTTAGCTTTGAGGTTTACAGACGGACGTTTTCTTTTTATGTTAATAGTTAGACTAGAATACATTAGCTTAAAAAAGCAAACACATGATTTCCACTTCCATCCTCTCTGGTAACACTATTTCAGAGGTGATTAAATAAGGGGAAAATGCTTCCTTCCTAACATCCTTCGCTCAGTTTCATGGCCTAATATACAATCTGTTCTATATCACATTTGTTTAAGGAAACTATCAATAGCTTCATAATTTAAAATACCTTATTTTATCCTGAAATTAAAAAAATGAATAAATAATAAAGCATACTAGAAAGCCAATACGATGCACAGAGAGCTCTTCCATACCAAACCAACATTTCCACATATCCTCATTGGTTTTGTTCATCACTACGCTACAGTTTCAAAAGGACAGACACACAGAGTGAAATGAAAGGTCAGCATGGACTCAAGTACTGTCTCCAAAGATGAGGATTAGTACGTCTAGGAAGAAGTATATGAAAAAGTCCCGCATGTGGCAATACGTGTGATGTATTTGAGAGGACGAAATTGCAGTGCTGTACTTAGCAGCTCCCATGAGAACTTTTTTCAGCCCTTTTTTCAGCCCTTTTTTCTAATCATTTTCTGTACCTGCTTAAGTGTCTTGCATTTACATTGTATCTATGTATCTACAGGATATGTGAAAGCATACCTCATTCTGAGCTTGCCATGCTTCAGTCACCAAAGTAACTATAACTTTGTCTAGATGCTTCATGACACCATTTTACACACCTCCATCACTTTTCCCTTGGCCTTATCTTTTCTATTTATGCTTATATAAGAGATAATTCCAATTCTCACCTTCACCCAATGCCTTGTTTTGTCTTCAATTTCCACTTTATGCTTTTTGTAAGTTATTACCTGAGCTATTTGGGTAATTTTGATGATCCCTCTACGCTAAAGTGACTCTTTCACAAAACTGGGTACTATAAATCAGAGCTAGTTCAACACTCAACAACACATCCACACAAATATCAGTTTCTCTCCCTGTATTGAGAATCACCTACTACTTTTAATCACCCAGGCACCAACAAATGTTATTTTTTTCTTTGATCATTGATTTTCTCATCTCGACTGTTCACCACTTCAGGTCACTTATTTCCCCCTTGTTTTTTCTACAGAGAAAGAACAACAAATATGCTATATGTTTAGCAACTATCCTAGTGTTGTAAGAACAGTTTTAAGCAGTAATGTAGATAAACAGTAAGGTTACACACACACACACAAACACTACGTGCCCTAACGAGACACCGACAGATCAAAAAAGGTGGATAAATATCAACCAGTCTCAACAACCTTACTATTTGTAAGAATTTATATAAAACCGTTTCCTAGAACACCAGAAGGACTCCACTGTGGGAGCTCCAGTAAGCTTCTTCATGAAGAGATGGGCATAAAGATTTCTGCTGTAGCCTTTTCCTTAATTTTCCTTTCTGTTTTTCTATACATATGGAATACAATAACATGGAAGTTACCAGTAACATAATTACACAATTTATTAGCAGTAAATTCCACAGACTGTTATGCTAACCTCTTTTCACGAGATTGCTTTAATATTTGTGGGTTTTCTTCAATTCCTTAAGCAGTTCCATGTCAACTGGCATTTTCCCCACATGTTCGTCTGCACCTATCCCCAGAGTTTTCATGCATCAAGCTGTCAGTCCTACCATGACTGCATTGGACCGCCTCACTCTGTAAGTACGTTCCTAATGGCAAAACTCATTACAATATATATAATATCAGTTTTATTCAGATGTAAGAAATTAGCACTAACGCAATTTTATAGTGAAATATAGCGTTAGGATGTTTCAAAATATACTCTACCAAGCAACTCCAATGTGACAAAATTTATTATCTCAGGATCTGTAAGTGATATAAAGTCAAGCACATATGACCTACATGATCAGGATACAGTTACAGGCTCTACTTTGTTTTTATTTTTCTTACTTAATAAGCATTTCATTATGACATACCATCATCTAGTGGAAGCATATGATGAAGAAAAATGTACTAAATCCATCTGAAACTCTGCTAGGGAGACAACTGTTTATTTTACTATTTATCTATCATTCAAAGAACCGAGAAACACTCAATGGGTGTTATCAGCATACAAAAGTTGCATTCCTTGGACTGCCTGGCAGCTTTCCAAGCTTCAAGTCTTTGCTACTTTTCCTTTTTTGGCGAGAGCACAGTAAGTCTTAAGGGCTACAACTCTAAGCATCCCTGGTTTAGTTCCCTGTA